AGGTTCATCATGTCTCATGAGAACTTACGTCATTTTGAAACAGATCCAGCTGATTTTGTTGAGCGATGTGTAACCATGGATTAGTCTTGAGCTCATCACTATAAGCCAGCGACTAAACAACAGTCAAATCAGTGGGAAAATCTAAGGTCTCCTCCGACGAAGAAGACCGCCTCCGTGGTCTAGTGGTAGAGCGTCCGCCCGGAGAGCGGAAGGTCCGGGGTTCGATCCACGACCGCGTCATACCAAAAGACGTTAAAATATGGTACTTGTTGTTACCCTGTCTGGCGCTCGGCATTAAGGGGCTAAAACAATGACTGGTCGGCTCGGAGTCAGTATACTGTGTCTGAGTGGGGTATTTATGTTAAACTGCGGCATGGTATCTCGTTGAGCTAGCACTATAAACCGGCATCAGTCCGGACTAGTACAAGCAGCCACACAAACACACACACGTACATACATACACGTCGCAAGTGCAATAATCTTGGACGCGACGTTAAACCCCATTTCACCTCACCTCACCTCACCTCCGACGAAGAAGGCAAAGTCCCCAGCAGACAAGGTGATGGTTTCAGTTCACTGAAATTCCAAAGGAATCCTACTGTAGGATAACCTCCCGAAAGATCAGACTATTAATGGCCAATATTACTCCGATCTGTTTAAACAACTACTTGAGACTAGCAAGAATAAATATGGTGGAAAATTCACTACAGGTGTGTTGTTCCTCAAGGACGATGTACCTTTGCACCAGTCTGTTTCCGCCATGCCTGCAATGAACCTCTGTGGCTTTGAACTCATTGGACATTGGCCGTATTCACCAGAGCTGACACCATCCGATTTCCTCCTTTTCCATACTTGAAGAAAGAACTGTCTGGCGATCATAATGCAAACGGGAATGATGTCATTTACATCACAAGGCAGAAGATTCTTTACCCTTCGGATCCAGGCACTCCAGCATCGTTGACTGAAGTGTGTGAACCTCGGAGGGCATTATGTTAAAACAATTGGCAACAAACTCCAATGACTGAACTGAACTTACTTTATTTACAGGCAGATTGCTAGCAGCGACAATAGAGGTACTTTTCAAGTATTAATAATACAAAAATCTATGTTCATGAAAACAAAATTACAATCTCATATACATCCTTTCCGACCAGCCGGATCAGGTACACAACACAAATTATGGAAATGTGTACAAACATTTTTGAAATATTACTTCCAGGTTTAAACTTTATCATGATATTTTTACAAAACCTAGATGGTTACATCAATCTTCCTAATCTTGGGCTATTAAAAAAGAAAATTTATTTTAAACATGTTTAATATAGTAATATTTAACTCTTGTGTCACATTGTGTAGACATTTTCTTTCAGTTTATGATATAAACGTCAGTAAAGTTCTCCAGAATTCTTTGTGTATTTTAAATAATTTTCAAAATGTCAACAGTCATTGTTTGACATTTCTACACATTGAATTTTCTGAGGATTTATCTCTTGCGACTATCCAGGATTGCAAGTTGATTTCATTTCGTTTATCTTAACTATAGTTTTAAGATATTCCTGATTTTTTAACATTTCGTGATATCCATTTGTGACAGGGGCCAAGTTGGACCAACTTTCGTTTCATACATGTCTTCCATTTATGATTAAATGTTCCCGTTACATTATCATTGACAAGTAAATTATACAAGATGAAAGAGAATGTTTACCCAGACAGAAGTTTAGCCCCCAAAGACATCATTTTGATTTTCAAATCACCATACTTCACTACCGTAAAGACGAATTGGTATAACAATATTGTCAAATGTTATTTCCGCCCCTGGAATGGAATATTAAACGTTGCTTTAGTGACCTGTTCTGATACATTTTGCTTCATAAGAGCAAATTTAAATTAATTTTTGGAAATGGGAATTTAAAACGTTTCACACATACCGTTGTTGTAAAGGTGTCACATTTACCAGTATGATAAACGTATGACACTTCCTGAGTGAAGGTGTCTCACATACCGTTATAGTGAAGTTGTCTCGTATGCCGTTATAGTGAAGTTGTCACACATACCGTTATAGTGAAGTTGTCACACATACCGCCATAGTAAAGTTGTCCTACATACCGTTATAATGAAGTTGTCACACATACCGTTGTAGTGAAGTTGTCACACATACCGTTATAGTGAAGTTGTGTCATATACCGTTACAGTGAAGTTGTCCTACATACCGTTATAGTGGAGTTGTCACACATACCGTTATAGTGAAGTTGCCTCACATACCATTATAGTGAAGTTACCTCACATACCGTTATAGTAAAGTTGCCTCACATACCGTTATAGTGAAGTTGTCTCGTATGCCGTTACAGTGAAGTTGTCACACATACCGTCATAGTAAAGTTGTCCTACATACCGTTATAATGAAGTTGTCACATATACCGTTACAGTGAAGTTGTCCTACATACCGTTGTAGTGAAGTTGCCTCACATACCGTTATAATAAAGTTGTCTAACATACCGTTATAGTAAAGTTGCCTCACATACCGTCATAGTGAGGTTGTCCTACATACCGTTATAATGAAGTTGTCTCACATACCGTCATAGTAAAGTTGTCCTACATACCGTTATAATGAAGTTGTCACACATACCGTTGTAGTGAAGTTGTCACACATACCGTTATAGTGAAGTTGTCTCACATGCCGTTACATTGAAGTTGTCCTACATACCGTTATAGTGGAGTTGTCACACATACCGTTATAGTGAAGTTGCCTCACATACCGTTATAGTGAAGTTGTCTCACATACCGTCATAGTGAAGTTGCCCTACATACCGTTGTAATGAAGTTGTCACACATACCGTTGTAGTGAAGTTGTCACACATACCGTTATAGTGAAGTTGTGTCATATACCGTTACAGTGAAGTTGTCCTACATACCGTTATAGTGGAGTTGTCACACATACCGTTATAGTGAAGTTGCCTCACATACCGTTATAGTGAAGTTGCCTCACATACAGTTATAGTGAAGTTGCCTCACATACCGTTATAGTGAAGTTGCCTCACATACCGTTATAGTGAAGTTGCCTCACATACCGTTATAGTGAAGTTGCCTCACATACCGTTATAGTGAAGTTGCCTCACATACCGTTACAGTGAAGTTGTCCTACATACCGTTATAGTGAAGTTGCCACAACACATACCGTTGTAGTGAAATTGTCACACATACCGTTATAGTAAAGTTGCCACACATACAGTTATAGTGAAGTTGTCACACATACCGTTATAGTGGAGTTGTCACACATACTGTTATAGTGAAGTTGTCATACATACAGTTATAGTGAAGTTGTCACACATACCGTTATAGTGAAGTTGTCTCACATACCGTCATAGTGAAGATGTTACACATACCTTCATAGTGAAGTTGTCACACATACCGTTATAGTGAAGTTGTCACACATACCGTTATAGTGAAGTTGTCACACATACCGTTATAGTGAAGTCTCATACATACCGTTATAGTGAAGTTGTCACACATACCGTTATAGTGAAGTTCCCACACATACCGTTATAGTGAAGATGTCACACATACCGTCATAGTGAAGTTGTCACACATACCGTTATAGTGAAGTTGTCACACATAACGTTATAGTGAAGTTGTCACACATACCGTTATATTGAAGTTCTCTCATATACCGTTATAGTGAAGTTGCAACACATACCGTTGTAGTGAAATTGTCACACATACCGTTATAGTGAAGTTGTGTCATATACCGTTACAGTGAAGTTGTCCTACATACCGTTATAGTGGAGTTGTCACACATACCGTTATAGTGAAGTTGTCACACATACCGTTATTGTGAAGTTGCCACACATTCCGTTATAGTGAAGTTGCTACACATACGGTTATAGTGAAGTTGCCACACATACCGTTATAGTGAAGTTCTCTCACATACCGTTATAGTGAAGTTGCCACACATACCGTTATAGTGAAGTTGCCACACATACCATTATAGTGAAGTTGCCACACATACCGTTATAGTGAAGTTGCCACACATACCGTTGTAGTGAAGTTGTCACACATACCGTTATTGTGAAGTTGTCTCACATACCGTTATAGTGAAGTTGTCACACATACCGTTATTGTGAAGTTGCCACACATACCGTTATAGTGAAGTTGCCACACATACCGTTATAGTGAAGTTCTCTCACATACCGTTATAGTGAAGTTGTCCTACATACCGTTATAATGAAGTTGTCACACATACCATTATAGTAAGGTTGTGTCATATACCGTTACAGTGAAGTTGTCCTACATACCGTTATAGTGGAGTTGTCACACATACCGTTATAGTGAAGTTGTGTCATATACCGTTACAGTGAAGTTGTCACACATACCGTTATAGTGGAGTTGTCACACATACCGTTATAGTGAAATTGTCACACATACCGTTATAGTGAAATTGTCACACATACAGTTATAGTGAAGTTGTCACACATACCGTTATAGTGGAGTTGTCACACATACCGTTGTAGTGAAATTGTCACACATACCGTTATAGTGAAGTTGCCACACATACCGTTATAGTGAAGTTGCCACACATACAGTTGTAGTGAAATTGTCACACATACCGTTATAGTGAAGTTGCCACACATACAGTTATAGTGAAGTTGTCACACATACCGTTATAGTGAAGTTGCCACACATACAGTTATAGTGAAGTTGTCACACATACCGTTATAGTGAAGTTGCCACACATACCGTTATAGTGAAGTTGCCACATATACCGTTATAGTGAAGTTGCCACACATACCGTTACAGCAAACACCAATCAGGCAGTACTTTCTTTTCCTGTCGGTTATGGTGTTTGTTAGGATTGTAGGGCAACAGTCTGTCGACCTGTACGTAATCGATCTATCGATTCTCACTATCAACTATAACATTGTGTACAGAGGGTAGTTAAGACCAGGAGATAGCGTGACATTGTCCTTGAATACATTGATATCATGTTGACTCATCCTGTTAGCGAAAGGTGTTTAGACTTGACTCATGAAAGGTTGTTTTGAATTTATTTAACAGCGCCTGACAATGCAACTATGACACATTTTATCAAGTGTATTTCTTTGACGTACAATATGTATTAACCGGTATTTATGAAAAATGCAAGTTTCCTAGACCATGCATTGACGCATTGCTCATACAACCAGACTGAAACTTGTTTGAGTTGGATGTTTTACAGTGTCAGCTTGTTGTTAGCAATAATAATAGAGCCTCGCTCCGGCAAACTTACGGATAGCTTGAGAAACACGTCATCAGGAAAGTTTCAGAACGAGTCTGGCCACCCGATTCACATCAGTGGCCTCTAACGACGAGCAGTAGGATACTGGAGACACACACTAACCCAGGACCCCACCCACGGGGTTGCCTGTATAACTCAGTGGATTATTTTCATCGACAGGTACGGGTATGTATTTTGTGATAGATTTTTCACTTTCTCTCAAGTTGTATTTGTTTCGTTTTCTTTCTAGACGTGATGTGAGAATTGTTTCATGATGTAACTTCAAGACGATGAGACCGTGGTTAGCTTTACTATATCTCAGACGCCACAATTCGCTGTGTAGCGTTCCCCCCTTTAGACTGCCAGCAACCTATGGTCGGGGGTGCGAATATCGATTCGCCATGATTTTGTTTGTCGGCACCATACCCGTGCTCGTGGGTGTCAGTGCTAAACGTGTAAGGCCTGAATAATGTTTCCTCCCACATCAATCTATCACGCGACCCGTGAAGATCCGGGGTAGAACAGGTCTTCAGCAACCCATGCTTGCCGTATAAGGCGACTATGCTTGTCGTAAGAGGCGACTAACGGGATCGGGTGGTCAGGCTCGCTGACTTTGTTGATGTATGTCATCGTATTCCAATGGCGTGGATCGATGCTCATGATGTCAATCACTGGACTGTCTGGTCCAGACTCGATTATTTACAGACCGCCGTCATATAGCAGGAATATTGTTGAGTGCTGCATTAAACAGCAAACAAACAAACAAACAGCCTGACACGCCGTGATATGACTGGAATACTATTCATAGCGGATTTAAACTAAAGTCACTCACCAACATAACCCTAGAAGGGATTCGATTTCAGCGCGACAAACCAACGCTTTTTCTTTTCCATTGCCCAAACAGGAATCAATCAAAGACTGGATTATTGCGAAAGCGATATAAACCTAAACTCAATCATTTAGACACTGCTGTGAGCTGCAATAAGCAGCCATACCGATATAATGTGAAATCAGCATTGATGTAATGCAGTCAAAACAAATCAGTGGTTCACGGTGCTACGTGTAAGAGATTTTAATGGGGGTAGAAATTGTTGTTAATATATGTGTAGTAACTGTTAGTTGCAACAAATGATTTAACTACTTGTAAAACTATATCAAGTGATGTCGTGGCGGGATACGAACAGCAGTAGCGAGTGGAACTTTCCAGAAGTTTTGTACTGTAGTTAGAGTTATCTGCCCTTGTGGCGTACAAGACCAGGACCCCGTTCCACAAAGCGATCTTAGCGCTTTGACTGTCGTAAGTCAGTGTTAAAGAAAGGGAGTTACGATCGACTTAGCGCTAAGATTGCTTCGTGGAACAGGGCCCAGGCTTCATCATTCTAGATGTTTGTGGATGGGACAGTTTCTAAAAGGCTGGCTGTCTCTGTATAGGACCGACAAGGCCATTCGGGGCTTTTTTCGATTTGTTTCTGTTCTATTTGCCACGTGCGCGGGGTACCTATTGGGTGTGTCAGGACATGGTTGTAGTTGTGCCTTTGGACATTCAGCTGGGCTAACTGTGAGATTCCCTTCTCTGGGACAAGACCTATTCAACCAAGGTCACCTGACACATATCCCCCTGTGGGTATTCCGGGTTAGAATTGTCAATTTATTCTTGTCATAATATGGGACTTAAAGGGTCAGTTGGTCAGACTCGGTGACTTGGTTAATTGTGTCTCATCGTAATCGAAAGACGTGGGTCTTTGCTCATAATATCAACCACTGGATTGTCTTGTCCAGACTCGACATTGACAGGCAGTCGTAATGTAGCTTCAATATTGCTGATTGCGGCGTTTTACAACAAACATAATACTTAAAATGAGTACTATGTTTTAAAAATTAACAATATTTACACTATTTACCCCGTTTTGGGTGGGTTACAATAGATCGTCAATAAGAACGCTCACCTGCTAAATTAAACATATACATGTCATGGTTAAATGGTCGTCGTGCATAGGAAGGTCCGGGATCGATTCCCCGCATGGGTACGATGTGTGGAGATCATTCCTGGTGTCCCCCGTCGTACTGGGATATTGCTAAAAGCGGCGTAAAATCATACTCACTCAGTATCTACTGGTGACGTTTTTAACAGTGAGGTGAGGTGAAATTGGGTTTAACGTCGCGTCCATTTTTTTTATAACAGTAAATAAGGAAGTAGTTGGGTTGTACACACCAAACGCTATACCTTATCGTTACACAACATACATGCACTTTAACATAATATCAATAATTCATTGCTTGGTAGCTGAATTTGCTTCCGCGTTAGGAGAATTTATGAGTGTCTTTGTTTGCTAAGTTTCTTTGGTGTATGTGTCATGATATTGGGTGGGCGATACATGCTGAACGCTTTGAGCCATGGACTCCATTGAAAGGAATTCAACTGAACTGGTTCCTAGGTTCGTAGCGTGTCTTCTATTCAATGTTCGTATTGGTCGGGGTTCACCTTCCATTCTTCATAAAGTCACAGTTTTTCTCATAATTTGTTAGTGAGTGAGTGAGTGAGTATGGTTTTACGTCGCTTTGAGAAATATTACAGCAATATCACGGCGGGGGACACCAGAAATGGGCTTCACACATTGTACCCATGTCAGGAATCGAACCCGGGTCTTCGGCGTGACGAGCGAACGCTTTAACCACAAGGCTACCCGACCGCCCCCATAATCTGTGAGAAGAGTGTAAATGGGTTTTAACGGTTCACCATTATTGTACTTATAGAGCGTGTATGCACGTGTGTGTCTGGTTGTACTAGTCCGGCCTCAGACACAGAATACTATCTCCGAGCCGACCAATCCTTGTGTTATCCCCTTCATGCCTTGGTCCAGGCAGGGAAGCAACAAGTACCATCGTTTAACGTCTTTTGGTATGACGCGGTCGGCGATCGAACCTCAGACCTTCCGCTTTCCCGACAGACGCTCTTTGCACGGAGGCGGTTTCTCATTGTTTTTAAGTGAGTAAGCTTTGTCATATTACCGCATTTATTTCTGTAAGTTTAGTTATGTTTTGGGTTACTATCCACGTGTGTCTTCATAAACATTGCAGTTATAACACCTATACTCTTGAAGACGAGGGGTGGTGAGGTGACCTAGTGGTTACCGTGTTGGTTCTTCTACCCGAATGCACGGGTGAACAAGTCGTCTAAGGCGCCGCAATTAGCTGTGCAGAGTTGCCTCCCTTGGCCCACCAGAAGCCTATATATGTGGGTTCCAATCACGGTTCGCCCCGACTATGTTTATCAGCACCATACCCGTGCTCGCGGGTTTTACCAAAGTGGTAAACTTCTAAGACCTACATCACTTGGGGCTTTCCTCTTACATCAAGTTAAGGGACACTCACTCACTCACTCACTTTAACCGTTCATTGCATTGAGTTGTCATTATCTGACCACAGACGATCAGGTCGAATCTAAATCGACAAATTAATGGGAAAACGTGCGACCCTTCTAGTATTGCCGTTATGCCGAACATCAGCTGATAATTGTGCGCATTACCCTCGCCGGGCTATAACTCACACCAGCCATGCTTTGTGTATTTTCCTTAAAGTATTCATCTTTGTTTTATAGAAAATGGCGTTAAATAATATGAAACTCCCAAACTACAGTAAACAAGAGGTACTTACATTTTCCGGTCACGAAATAGTTGGGAACGGAAACAAACATGACCGTCAAGACCTTTCGAAACATCCTAGTTTCACGTCTCATACGGTCTTTTGTATTTTGTTAGGCCACAGTGACACCATTACCTTCAACAACACAAAGCTATTTCATTATTTTAATTTTGTTTATAATATTGATGCGCTTCTCCGCGGTATGGAAGCATTCTGACTGTACCAGAAACGCTGTGACAATTACTCGTGACGGTAATATAGTAAAGCGAGTCCTTGCATTGTGTGATGAGGAAGTTTAACAATAATTTATTTTAAAGTGAAATATTTATTTACATTATATCAAGAAGTTATATGAAAACCGGATGGGAAGTACGAATGGTATTATCATCCGCATCTCTTTGATGCGCGCAGGCCCCGTCTTCGGAAATGGCCGCACCTTGGGCCCTTACGCGAGGATAACTCTGTTTCGCACACCGTTAATGTGAAGAAAATACGCTTTAATACATGGGCTTTAAGTATAGAAACTAACAAATGCCCTGACTTTCATCTGTACCATTCTGCAACAGAAACGTTGAGCGGACGTTCGTTACTTGTAATGATTCATTTCATTATACAGTGAGTGAGTATGGTTTTACGCCGCTTTTAGCAATATTACAGCAATATCACGGCGGGGGACACCAGAAATGGGCTCACACATTGTACCCATGTCGGGAATCGAGCCCGGGTCTTCGGCGTGACGAGCGATCGCTTTAACCACTAGGCTACCCGACCGCCCCCATATCTTTATACAAACTGGTGTGGAAAACGTAGATACCACTGTGTTTGTGGTGTCGAGGAAGCTAATCGCTGTTAAAAAATATTTTAAAATCGTTTCAACATTATCGCCACCAGGAAGAAAGAGCCTGGCGCTACAACACTGTGTGTCACCAGGAGAATGGACGTGGCTGGAGAAGATGGAGAGGAGGCTATACAAAGAGACCAGTTGAGGTAATGAGTTCACTGACTTTACATGAAAGGGGACCAATGCGTTACAGATGCACCAAATAGTGCTTTAAGGACATGGCACTGTTTCACTGAACGATCATAGCCTCATGACTGTCGTGTGTCATTGACGAAATATGAATGTTTCAACCGTCGTAACACTATTAACACAATGTGAAACGGCCCTTGTAGAAAGCGATTGTAGCGTTACGATTAGGTTATGTTCTAGCTACATATGAGAGTGAGTGAGTATGGTTTTACGCCGCTTTTAGCAATATTCCAGCAATATCACGGCGGGGGACACCAGGAATGGGCTTCACACATTGTACACGTGTCAGGAATCGAACCCGTGTCTTCGGCGTGGTGACGAGCGAACGCTTTAACCACTAGGCTACCCGACCACCCTCTATATATGAGACCTGTAGTTTGTTCGATTGTGTACGAATATGCAACTTGTTGACGTCATAGATTGGACGATGTTATTTTTGAGAGGGAGGTGTATAGATGTAGCTGGGTTATGCAGAAAAACGCAGTGACCGAACGATCGCATCCAACAGTGGAGAGATATGACACTCGGCATTAGGAGAAAGGGTACAGATAATCAGCTAGAGAATTGTGAGAGTATGCGGGAAATGGCACACTTAACCCACCTGTTCGTAAAACGGTCTTGTCATTTCCGGGGTCGGATTCTAGTCATGTAGTCCATCATTATCAAAATCGGGGTAAATATATTTTTTGGTACATTTTATAAACATCCTTAAAAGAGTATGTACATAGTTGATATCTCATATAACAAATAAACGAATGGTCGTTTATCGTACAATTAAAAAACTGCCACAAGGGCCACAGTTAAAACATCGAAATTCAAAACAACTTTCGTCTGCACCAGTTAACAAATAAATAATTTGGTCATAATATTTAATAATTTCTCGTTTTATGTATTCTATATTTAAAATTAATAATTTGCTTAATTAATAAAATGATTATTTACTGATCCAGGAAGCTGCAGAACGCGTGTAGATACACGAAGGGTCGTTTATTTTCAATACAGCCTTTAACGGATTCAATCAGGAATGATAAGGACCAGATTTATGAAAAAATCACTAATAGAAGCGATAATTTGAATAGAATTGGCACTGTCAAACAGAAATACATAGAACCGAATTCTTTGCAATTGTAGAAGGGTCTCATACAAGAGGTTTGTAAGTTGTTTTATTTGTAGACAGCAACTACAAGTCTACCTCTTGTGACGATGTCACCGGGTAATTATTTTGCTGTGTCACGGTCTTGTGACCTCTGTTCCCCGGCTTTATTTCCGACATCGCTCGGCAAAGTTCGGCGGTCATCGTTGTACAGTGTCATGACTTTCTGTGAAAGGGAATTAGTGGCCTAACTATTTCATTCTCTTGTGATCTTATGGCACTCACAAACCTCACTGTATTCACTTGATATATGTTCGCTACCTTATTCTTGTATTAAAAGTGTTTTTGTAACTATGATTTTCAAACATTATGCGAATTTATATGCACACTCAAATATTTTTCATGTATTTTTGGGGCACGGGTGGCTCAGTCGCCTAAGACGCCGCGATTCGCTGTGCAGAGTTGCGTCCCTTGGGGGACGCCGGAAACCTATGATTGTGGGTTCGAATCCCGGTTTGCCCCGATTATGTTTCTATGTTTATCAGCACCATACCCGTGCTCGTGGGTTTCACCGAAGTGGTAAACGTCTGACCTGCATCACTTCGGGCTTTCCTCCCACATTAAGTTGACAGGCCGTGATATAACTGGAATACTGTTCAAAGCGGCGTTAAACCTAACTCACTCACTCTCATGTATTTATGGTCATTTTGGGACTCCTAAAAAAATGTACATAGCTTGTTGTATGTCTCTAATGATGCAGTTGGGAAGCTTATGTTCAGCGCTTTATTTTGATGCTTACATCTTCAGTATGGATATAGTAGTTAGTTTGATATTTGTGTTGTCCCCATGTTTGTCCCCATGTCACGCTGTTTGGCCACCCGCCCCAGTCTATTGTATTCCCCGGCTGTCCCGGAGACAATGTCTTCTCTGATGTCCGCGCGCAGTATATTCATACTTCTGTCAGGATCGTGTGTCTTAGCCCCCAGGATTCATGAGGCCGTTTGTTCGGGTTGGTCTGCTTCGGGCTGGTCTCCTCTTCTGACTCAGTCTGGTTGTTTGCTCTGATGTAATTAATCAGTGATCTTTGTCAGCGCAGATTGAGTTTATCTGATCTTTTATTGTCACCTATTAGTACAATTAGTTGTTATTAATAAACCTGTGAGCATATTAGCACGTTTTCATTACCACTTTAGTCTTGTTTTATGACACTCCTGATCATTGGACCACAGCTCCGTGACAGACGACAAATACACCAGTGTGACAATGTGATTATTGTTTGGTTGTGGTTTGAGTAGTTGGTTGAGATTGGTACATTCTGACAACGCATCCCTGACGGTGTGCCCCCTCTCACATAGACATTCATGGAAATGACACACTGGCGAAGCTAGCTCTAGAAAAAGCGGAGATATAGCCTATTCCTTTTAGTAAACTGGAGATAAAAAGGAAAACCAAAGCAACCATAGCCCAAAGATGGCAAGCACAGTGTGACGCAAGTAAGATCGGCAGATGGCTATACAAAATTAAACCCAAGATCTACCCAAAAGCCAAACTCCTACTCAAACGAAAGGAAAGTTGAAATCGCCCCAGACTCGGTCACAAAAAGCATTATGACAAGGTTTGTCCATCTCGCAATCAGGCTGAATCCATTGCTCACTTGTTACTCGATTGTCAAGACCACGTTCCAACCCAGGCTCGGTTAAAACAAAAAATTGCAGTTAGATTAGAGATGCAATAGCGAACTAACTCTATTTCTGAGAGATGGACAGCTACTCCAATGTACATAAACAGAGCAGCCAAAGATAAAAATTAAACTATATTATATCAAAATAGAAAATAGAAATCATATAAATACAAATACAGAAATTATGTGAATACCAAACTCACAATAGATATGAGTACTCTACTCTCACACACGAGTCCCAATGAAGGACAGGTCCGCTGAAATTGCTAAGACAGAAGGCGACCTCTTAAACACTTAAAGCAACAACAACAACATAATAATAATAATGTGCATTTATTACACTAATTCTTCCGAAAAATGTCATGCATTAAAGTCCGTCATTGCAAAGGTTCGAGTTGGGTGGTTTCTTAAAAAAGTGCCCGACCACAGGAACAAATAAACACATTCCTATCAGACCCACACTGATATTAAAAGCATAACTTAACGAAACACATATGGACTACAAATCATTAGATTAAATATCTAATCTTATTTAAATATTCTTCTTTAATTCTTCTTTAATCTTATCAAATAAAAAACAAATATCCTCCCCGTGGAGATTCAGAGTATACTTATACCTTGTGAGTACCCGGACCTGATTATAATGAGATTGATCCTCATGTCATCTCGAAGCAAATAACTGTTTGTTCATGTTACTCTATTCTGAGGCAGAATTGGTCCCTAGCAACCCTTGCTTGTCGTACGAGGCGACTTAATCGGATGGTTAGACATTTTAAATTATGTAGGCATTGCTTCGGTAATACTGTGCAGCGTCAGACAACAAACAAATACTTCCCTTTTGTGTGAGGGGCGGGTACTACCGGATGGGCGGGACATGGTTACCCTTTTCGCGAAGACGCCATCACTGATTTTTAGTGATCGATTCACATAATTGTCACCATTAATTTTGCATTCTACAGCAAAGTCGAGACTGATTATTCTCTGGCGTTAATGTTTTATATTCATTGTCGTTTACAGATTCTTCAGGGTATTCTGTGGCACTTGGAATGTGAACGAGCAGTCCCCAATGGAATCCCTGGGCACTTGGCTGGAGAAGGACGATGAACCACCAGACATATATGCTATAGGGTAAACATGCTACCTTTCTCCATACTTCTTTAACTTTGAGCCGATTGAGTGTGATTCTGACTCTGTGTGTTTGTTGTTTAACACCACACTCAGCAATATTTCAGCTACATGACGGTGGTTTGTAAATAATCACGTTTGGGCCAGACAATCCAGTGATTGACATCAAAACATCGATCTACGCGATTGGATTTTGTCTTGCATTTCAAAATCAACATATTTTCGAACGTCAAGTAAGTCAGTGAGAGAAGAGAAAAACTCATTTCTTTCTGATATAAGCGCTTCACAGATGTACATGGATGGCAAGTTTCTTGTCAACAGTTAACTACGATACCCCGATAGACTATCGATAGTTTCGATAGATGCAATATAATAAAACACATTGCAAACTAGGTATTATCATCATCAAGTTTCCATTCGTTTTTCAATCAGAAAGTATTGGTATTTTATAATAATATGTGTCAATTAACAGACCTTTCTTCCTGTACTCTTGAATACTTCCATAGCACTCTGTATTTAAACTGAGGGGCGGTCGGGTAGCCTAGTGGTTAAAGCGTTCGCTCGTCACGCCGAAGACCCGGGTTCGATTCCCGACATGGGTACAATGTGTGAAGCCCATTTCTGGTGTCCCCCGCCGTGATATTGCTTTGAATATTGCTAAAAGCGGCGTAAAACCATACTCACTCATTTAAACTGCCCAATAGTCACCCTACATGTTATGTATGTAAATTGTTGCATTTGTTTGAAAATATACTATTGATACTGTAAAGTATGAAATCGTCTGTTGGATACAATGTACGTGTTCAGAGACGGATGTTACCATTATGAATACATATATCTCCATGTCAATCTCATTAAAATCAAATCTCATTTCTTGCTAGGACTAAATAAAGATATGAGGACATCCGACATATCAGAGCGTCGGTTACTAGATCAGGAAAGTGACGTTCAGAACGTGTTTTCTAATCATGATACCTCGAAGTGGTTAACACGAGGTATTCCGAACGAAAGTTACGGGTTGTACGACTGATTCCGTCAAAGACATCTCTCGCTTCAATGAACGTTGGAACAGGAAAGACTTCCAATAGTCCGTGGGAAGACCTGCCATACAATCTCAGCCATCTATTAGACATTCCAGAACCAAGATCTGAATAAAATGAAATTGATCCCCATATCTTCTCGAAGCAAATAACTGTTTGTTAATGTAGCTCTCTTCCGAGGCAGAATTTGCCCCCATCACCCCATGTTCGTCATAAAGAGCTGACTTATTAGGATCGGGTTGTTCCAATATGTTACTTCGCTGATTGTGTGCCACCCTGCCCCGTAGGTGCTGCACGTGCAGTCCATCAGCTTTTAACCGCGATTATTTACAGGGCGTTTATTTAGCTGAAATAATGTTAAATGTTCTTCGATGTCAAAATCTCAGATGAGGTAAATAACCATAACGGGTACTACCGGTAGGGCAGAACATGGTTACCCTTTTGGCGAACACCTGGTGTCATCGCTGATTTCAGTGATCCATTCAAAAAACATGGATTGGAATTTGTTTCGTTGGATAATTGAGACTGGTTAATTTTTGGCGTTGGCGTTTTACATGTTATTATTTGTCAATCAACTTCATTTTTGCGTCTGTACTACTTGATAAATGTATCGACTGTAGATTTCAAGAACTAGACATGAGCATAGATGCTATGCTATCTACCGACTCCAAGAAGGAAGCGGAATGGGAGGATGCTGTTAAGACCTACCTCCACCCAAAAGCAAAGTATATTAAGGTAGAGTGTATGAACCTTCGAGTATATTAATCACTTTGTGCAACCACAACAGAACACGAATATATAAGATAAATGATTTATTATATATTGGCACAGAAACGGGGGCTGGCTCGGTCGCAGGATGGAATGAGTGGGTCGATGACCCTTATGTTATGAGAGAAGGAGGAACCATGTTATAAATGGATGTCCTGAGGTCATGCCGACCTGGACTGAGGGATCTGCCGGTCCTGGGGTCTCGTGACCCGGACTATCCCATGTTTTGGTGTCCTGGCGTCATGCCGACCCGGACTGAGGGATCTGCCGGTCCTGGGGTCTCGTGACCCGGACTATCCCATGTTTTGGTGTCCTGGCGTCATGCCGACCCGGACTGAGGGATCTGCCGGTCCTGGGGTCTCGTGACCCGGACTATCCCATGTTTTGGTGTCCTGGCGTCATGCCGACCCGGACTAAGGGATCTGCCGGTCCTGGGGTCTCGTGACCCGGACTATCCCATGTTTTGGTGTCCTGGCGTCATGCCGACCCGGACTAAGGGATCTGCCGGTCCTGGGGTCTCGTGACCCGGACTATCCCATGTTTTGGTGTCCTGGCGTCATGCCGACCCGGACTGAGGGATCTGCCGGTCCTGGGGTCTCGTGACCCGGACTATCCCATGTTTTGGTGTCCTGGCGTCATGCCGACCCGGACTAAGGGATCTGCCGGTCCTGGGGTCTCGTGACCCGGACTATCCCATGTTTTGGTGTCCTGGCGTCATGCCGACCCGGACTGAGGGATCTGCCGGTCCTGGGGTCTCGTGACCCGGACTATCCCGTGCTATGATGTCCTGTCCTATGAATTGGGGGCAGTAAGGACGAATTGGGGGCAGTAAGGGCCGACCATGTGTTATAAATGATAGACACGGCGACAGAACCAACCCCAAGGTGATGGTCGGGGATGGAGGGTGGCAACTTTGCCACCAGCATGAAAAACAAGGCAGAGACTGAGGAAGAGACATGCGCAGAATAAAGCAAATCATGATGCATGATGGGATATGTTTACCACGAATATGGGGTACGGCATGGAAAATGCAGTACGGCAATGACACACCTTATGGTAGAATAAGGTATGGACGGCATAATGTTAAGAATATGTGTTGAGATCTGGACAGTAACGTTGCAGTGTATTTGTAATATGTAGAGAGTACCTGTTATGGCTGCACAAACAAAACATATTAAATTTACATTTATTTCATCTAAAAGTCGGCCTTAATAAAGTATTCATCCATTTTGATGGTGGCTAAAATGAAGCAAATAAATGGTTATTTGAAGTTGGATGGAATGTGGAATTGTTTACTATCCCTCGAACAACTAATTGATTCATACCATAAAAACAAAGGTCGTGTCATTAAACTTCTTGACTGGTGGCATCATGCATAACTTTGCCTCTTAATGATTTATACATTTCTAATGAGCACAGCCTAAGGGTGTGCCCTGAATTCACATTCTATCCAACTTCAAAGATGGTTCAGTTGGTTGAGGTTGCCTTTGTGTGGTATGTGTGATGACCGACTTGAACCGCGGACCTTGTTTCGACTCCATCTTAGGTACAAAGTATAAAGCCTATTTTAGGTGTCTCCCCCGTGATATGTCTGGAATAGTGCAAATTGTGGCTCTCAGTCTCTTTGGATTGGAAACATTGTCTTTTATGTATACACTTGGTTGAGTTTGATAGTATGTTTCTGTTCGTGATGTTCTGATTGTTTTGTTCTTCCGAAGGTGAAGTCATGTCGACTGATGGGGATACTGCTGCTGGTCTACATACAGGAACAGCACATCCCCACTGATGTAGACGCCGAACAAGTGGCCACAGGCATCATGGGGTTCATGGTAAGGCATTGTATAACATCTTGAAGAAACGTAGTACTGATCAAACAGAGATGATACTCAGAGGATCAAGGAGAGGGAATGTGTTTCGAGGCCTGTTGGCTGGAAGCTGTCATTTGTATTTTGAATGACAACATACCTACCTACACACGTGATTCATCAGTGGTAAAGTCTAAACGACTAAACCAAGCTAACAAATCCGTTCAAAGCGACGTTAATTTTAAATAAATAAATAAAAGCAACAAAACCCTTTTCATAATCATAATAAATCTCAACTAAAAGCATTGTACAATGGGAGAGGGGATGGGGTGGAGGGGGGTCCTATTTCAACGCATTTGGTGCAAGGCTCCGGAGACCACTAATACAAATGTCCCATACTTGCTTTTCCAATATGGCTAGTATGAATGTTCACTGGTTTTGCAAGCGTTAATTAAGCAGCAACCGTTTTTTAGAGTAATAATACCTATTTTAGAAGTACATGTAAAGGCAGCTGCCCCACCAACGAATACCTGTGGTTCGTCTTTAAGAACTGCTGAGGCTGGTCAGGGAGTGAGGTGATCCTTTTTGACGATCCTGAATAGGTTAAAGTAGGAGTTTGAGACTGTGCGTGAACTACTTTCTTTTTGTCTGTATACATAACATTTGAGGATTTTGTATTCATGTTAATTATTAGATCATCGATATACCTGAAGCTTAAGTTAACCTTCTTGGCCAAATTATCTTGTTTTTACTTTTCCAATCCCCCAAAACATTCCGATTCATATGCGTAAAGAAACAGATCTGCAAGAAGGGGAGCACAACTGGTGCCCATGGGGATGCCTACTTTTTTCCTAAATGTCACACACCAAATTGTACGCAGATGTTATCAATGAGAAAGTCCAGCATTTCACATATTGCTTTCTCAGTAAACTTCAGATGGCATTTGCTTTCAGTTGTCCCGAACCTCTGAATATAGATACGTAACTGTATCTGTGTTCAACACGTTTTGTAACAAATGCCTCATGGATTAAGAAATGAGCTTTCCCCTTAAGTTCATCATGTGGGATAGTGGTGTACAAAGTTTATAGACCTTAGTTCTTTTCTGAGATTGCAAAAAGGTCAAGCAAATCTTTTGAGTTTTTGAGAATCCACATGACATTAATTCCACTTGTCTCAAATACTTTCTGTGAAATGTATTAAGTATTATAGTTAGTGTTTGAGACAGGGATTTGGTGGTACATTTGCTGGACCCAGCAATATATCTCTCTTTGTACGGATTTTTATGGTACGTTGGAATCCAGTACAAAAGAGGTATGTGCATGTCTTTAGAGTTTTAGAGTCAAGTCAAAAGTTGACAGTACTGATTTATGGTTTGGGCACATTTCTTCCTCAAGTAACATACTGGCCTTATATGGCCATATGGCCTTTCCTTCCTTTGCAAACTACTCAAACTCTGGAAGGGAAAGTAAATGCACTGCTGTTTCACAGTCACATGTGTAATGAACACACAAATTGCATGCAGGATATTGAATATGTTAGAATTTCATTTACATAACATGAAGACTTTAGAAAGAGTTATGTGCTACAGTGAGTTTACAGCATGATATAAGTATGTAAGAACATGATCAGTGACATTTGGCATTGTAAAGATGATGTGTATCGAAGGTCAAGAATTGCATCGGTGTTTTGTGCTTGTCGTTTAACGTCGCACTGGTAAAAATTCCAGCTGTATGGCGGCTGTTTAACATATATGTAATGTCAGGACTAGACAATCCAATGTTTGCCATGACCATCGATTTATGCATAGGCCTTTGCAATTGGGATTCAATGGCTTGAATCAACGAGTTTCAACAAGTAGCGAGCTTGACTACCGTCTAGTGATACATTCGGAATTGTACAATCGACTTTATGCTTTATGCTTTATGCAGAGATTTGTATTGGATATAGAAACGGTTTTGTCACTCTATTACCACAAGCTTGGGTCGATGAAGACCACTTCGTACACTGATCTTCACGGGGATAGAATTGTCATTTGCTTGCAGATTTAAGATATCATTTGACATGAGAAGGAAGTTCCTCCATTCATGAAACCTTGCACTTCTGTTTCATTGGCAAACTATAGACCAAAGCTTATTTCGTGTTCTTTTTTCAATAAAATCTAACATACCTCACACAACCTGTAGGATTGAATTCTTCAATGTCACATGGACATTCACTACAATTCTGAATTGTTCACAATATTAATCTATACCATATACCTGCTAATCGACAGGTAATACCTCTGGCAGGGTTAGAAGTTGGCACCAGTCGAATAGTCCTTGCCAAACTGCCAAATAGCTAAGGTATCCAAAGGACAAGGAGACAGTTGCCCTTTATAATGGGTTCGCTTTGTTCTCAGTATAAGGACTAGTGGCCTAACACTGTTGTTTTCTATAGCTGCTCTAGCTTACAAAAGAAATGAAATGGTGGTTCAGCACTTCACGTTTAGATCGTGCAATGGATCCAGAAGCCACCCACTGCTGAAAAGAACATTTATTTTTACCAACCATCGACGAAAGCCATTAAAAGTTGCATAACTTCAGCAATATCTCACATACCAAGAACAATCTTTGCGTATTATTGCATTCATTCCCAGACGAGAGGGGAACTCAATTCGTATACCAAATAAAAGCAACAAAACTCTTTTACATTCAATAGAAATCTCTACTAAAGCAGAGTCGATTGTACGATTCCGACTAAATCATGAGCATGTGTTTATTAATTACTTTCAAATAGTGACGATACCAGGTATTCGCCCCCCTCTTCCCCCTCTCTACCCCCTCTCCCACAATCCTTTTAGAAAAAGTGTATGTGTGAGTGCACCCACCCCATAAACTCTTCGATTGCCATTTAGAAGCTGTGAGAACATTAAGACGAAATATTTATGGATTACAATTTCTTTATTGTTCGTAACGACGGGGCGAATGCTGAGTATGTGCATACAAATGCTAAGTCTATATACACGGGCTGATATGTTCACATAGGGCGAGATCAGTGTACACAGCTGGTGGGGTTGACGAGAAAGAAGGCAACTGAGCTGTCACGAAAGGAGTGATGGGTGATGTTTTGAAAGCAGAGTAGGGTAAAACCGCAACACACAATATATCACTTAACACCAATTGTAACCTGGTGCCCACGGGTGCTTCACTAAAGGATGAATATATATCACACATCTTTCGGTCGTTGTTATTGTTTTCTGTAACAACATGAAGGACATGAAACTTTATGACTTAACTCTTTTTTGTTTCTTGCAACGTTTAGGGGTATTTCTTGTACCCTCGAATGAGTGATACAAGGGGCGGAGATTTAACTCGTCTTTCAAATAGACAGTAGTATCGAGGTTGCAAGAAGTAGCATTGAACGCCGTTACAAACAATAAAAGACGTTTTATCCATAAGTGTTCGTGTTTTTACAAGAAATGATGACAACGACCGGTGAGGTATATTAATGTTTATCGTTGGTGACGTACCCATGGGGACCCGGGTTGGAATAAGTCCCCATGGTTGTCGCACGTTGGACTTCATGGATCGGCTACTTGGTACACAGCGGGTATCCAACGGAGAGGGACGTTCTTATACAGCTGGACTTTTTCGTGGCGTAGACAGATATCCTGAACCGTTTGAACTCGTTGTGGTCGTCAGCTTTGCTTGGATCAGCTGTTTTCTTTTTTTTGATAACATTATTGACTTAAATCAGTGATGTGGCTGATTCTGTGTCATCATGCACCGAACCTCCGAGTATTTGTTCCTCCTGTCAACCACTGGTTTGTCTGGCCAATTGTTGGAAAGTCATCGAAAGTTTATGATCTTTTATGCACTTAATCTCTTAATCTGTATCTATCTTAATCTCTATATTGGCATGTTGTTATGACGTTATGAAGGTTTATAATGCACGTACATTTAAGGCCTAAAAATTAACATTGACAAACATTGATGGCAAATGTTGACAGGATATTCTTGAGTTGAGTTAGTGAGTGATTCGATTCGATGGATTTTAACAACTCTTCGGAATGAGTAAATGTGATGATATTGCTTTTTTCACAATTTAAAATATGATATATAGGCCATGCTACACAGGTTTCGGTTCTATGGTAGACATATGTAGGACATTTCTAAATTTGACGTATCCGTGGCTAAAATGTTGTCTGATGCAGATCCCCATTTTGACTTGAACCAAACGTTCCCGTGTTTTTTCAGGTGAACAATTGACTTGCTTTGCGCGTGTTTGTGATGAGTGCCGCCTGTGGTATCATCACTATTTGAAAGTGATTCATAAACACAACACCTGCTTGTGATATAGTCGGAATTGTACAAAGGATTCTGTTATAACTATATATTTCTTATGATTATGGAAATGTTTTAAGTCTCTTTAATTTTTCAGGAGACTTCAGATGATATTTACATCCCTTTTGACAAATTGTGCTGAATCTTTAGAGACAAATATGTAACCCTATTTAAGGTTTCCCCATTTAGTGACAATTGCCACAAACTCACTCACACGAGTAACCCCAGACGGTGGATAAACGTGTTTCAGGGGAACAAGGGCGGCGTGGGTATTCGGATGACCATCTGCAACACGTCCATTTGTTTCATCAACTCTCATCTCACAGCCCGCGAGGAGGAGATAGAGAGGAGGAATCAGGTACACATCCTTTTTATTAATAATTACTGATCAAGCCACCTGATTTATGACGTCATAATGAAGTCACTCAGTCATACGTCACAATTAGCCTTGTTCATACTTTGAGCTACCAAGCGGGTGAACGTCAAGAAATTATATTAGAAATCATACACACTGTTTTTTAGAATCCAGACATTTGATTGGTCAATCGTTGTATAAACTCTGTTTGGTCGTCATGACGTCACAGGGGCACGTTTGGCCCTCTCTTCAAAGGCACTGCATTTAGCTGTGCCGTGTTGCGTCCCATCAGCGTAACAGAAACCTACAATAAGAGTGAGTGAGTGAGTGAGTTCGGTTTAACGCCGCTTTTAACATTATTCCAGTTATATCACGTCGTGCCAGCTTAATGTGGGAGGAAAGCCCGAAGTGATGCAGGTCCCAGACGTTTACCACTTCGGTGAAACCCACTAGCACGGGTATGGTGCTGACAAACCTAGAAACATAATCCGGATGAACCGGGATTCGAACCTAGAATCATAGGTTTCTGGCGTGTCCAGGGGACGCAACTCTGCACAGCGAATCGCGGCGCCTTAGACGACTGGGCCACCCGTGCCCCCTCCTACAATAAGAGCATCCGTGCCAATGAAAAATTTAAAAGTGTGTCCATAAAGGTGTTAAATGTTATTTGTCAAATGTGCACATCAAATGACAAATAGCTGGAATTTGCTTACATAAGCACGAATTCATTAAATTCCCGGTCGGTCTGGAATCCAACACAGCAAATCATCTTAGTGTCCGAACTCTATGTATTACATTCAAAACAAGTTAAAGAACATCCACAATTGGAAGACGGTGCAATAACTTGTCTTTGGGTGTGCAAGTTCGTAAATAACATATGTGTCTGTCTTCTTGGACGCACATTTTCTCATTGGTAGGCCTTGCAGGAAGCTCAGTATTGTTTCTCTGGCGTTGTTGTGTTTCAGGATTATCGTGACATTTCCTCCAAGATGACATTCAAACAGTTCTCGCCGCCAATGACACCTGATGACCATGAGTAGGTGAACCATTGATTGAGAGTGAGTGAGTTGGGTTCAACGCCGTTCTGAACAGTATTTCAGTTGCTTTACGACGTGTCAGCTTATTGTTGGGTAAGGCCAATATCGTACAGATTCGTATACTTTGGTAATCAGGACCGCCTCCGTGGTCTAATGGTAGAGCGTCCGCCCGGATAGCGGAAGGTCCGCGGTTCGATCATACCAAAAGACGTTGAAAGATGGTACTTGTTTTTACCCTGTCTGGCGATCGGCATTAAGGGGCTAAACATTGACTGGTCGGCTCGGAGTCAGTATACTGTGTCTGAGTGGGGTATTCATGTTAAACTGTAGCATGGTATCTCAGTGTGCTAGCCCTCATAATCGGCATCAGTCCGGACTAGTACAAGCAGCACATGCACGTCGCTATATAAATTCAATAATCTTGGACACAACGTTAAATCCAATTTCACCTCACCTCACCTCGCTTGGTAATCAGAGTATATCTTAGATTCGAACCCACGATCATCCAATTCTGGCACTGGATGAGTCACGCACTCACCCAAGCATAACGTTTGAGACAGTTTCCTGATTTCTCACTTGATACTCTCATTCACCCACTTCCCAACACAGCCACAACTTCACTCACTCACTCAAACACCAACCCACTCACTACTTTATCTGATATGTTTAAAAAAATATGTATCTTCTGTTGCAGCCTCATATTTTGGTTTGGAGATCTGAACTTTCGAATCGATGACATGCCTGCTAATGAACTGAAGAACAACATAGACAATAATCAGTACACAAGACTACTGTCACACGATCAGGTATCTACTTGTACATGCACTTCCGGTCAAACATTGGCAGCAATGTTGGTGTTAACGTCATTACCATGGTGTCCAGTTGATATTCGGTGTTAGACGTAATGTCCAGTAACCTATGGTGTTCGTGAGATCGGATCGGGTGCTCAGGCTCGGTGGATTGCATGTCATCGTGCCCCGACGGAGTTGATCGTTGCGTATGATCTCGCTTGTCTGTTCCAGACTCGATTATTTACCAACCGGTGTCATATAGCTGGAATATTGCTGAGTGCGGCGTTCAACAACAGAGAAACATGACCAATATTCTGACACATCTCGTTTACAGTTGTGCAAGCTGCTGGGGAAGTCCGATGTGTTTGCCGGTTACACTGAGGGTGTCATCAATTTCCGTCCAACGTATAGGTACGATTCAGGCACTGACAACTGGGATACAAGGTAAACCATACATTTAAAGGGGGACTCTGTGATCTGATACTTGCTTCCTGGTCCAGACATAATGTTTTTTTCGTTTATTAACGTCACACAATTGTCCAGCTGTATGACGGCGGTCAGTAAGCAATCGAATTTAGACCAAAAACGTCAGTGCTTGACATCATGAGCATCGATGTACGCACAAGGGATACGATGATATGCATCAGCCAAGTCAGTGAGCCTGACCACACGATCCTGTTAGTCGCCTCTAACCACATGTGTGGGTTTCTTAAGATCAATTCTAACCTGGATCTTCACGCGTCCCAGACGTAATTATAAGTGCCATTGGTGAAACATACATACACAAATATGCATAACTATATTTGGACAAAAGTCCTGTGAGGGTTTTGAAATGCTTGGCTAGCTAATTGCCTTGACCATGCTTCCCTTCTCCGGCCAGACATTAATGTGAATAAAATACTATTTAGTGTGTGCGTGCCCTTCAAACCTATCTTGTTGAAGATTTAGAATTGGTCTTCAGCAACCCATGCTTGTCGTAATTCCGATTATCAGGCGGTTGACTTTCCTTGGAAACATAAGTGAGTGAGTTGGGTTAAACGCCGCTTTTACAGTATTCCAGTTATATCAAGGCGTGTCAGCTTAATGTGGGAGGAAAGCCCGAAGTGATGCAGGTCTCGGACGTTTACCACTTCGGTGAAACCCACTAGCACGGGTATGGTGCTGACAAACCTAGAAACATAATCGGGACGAACCGGGATTCGAACCCACAATCATAGGTTTAGGGCGTGCCCAAGATACGTGGAAACTCAAGACGTCGTCCATTTTATCAATGCATTCTTTTGTAACATAGCTATGGGAGTTCACGAAACAAGATAGTGCGACGGATAATTGTTGATAAATGTTGTATGTTACAATGTCGATAAACTGTTTGTGTTTTCAGATTTCAGTTATTGTATTTTTGATGAACGGAAATTTAACATGATAAGCCTGATAAGGACGGTACAGGATTGCGCCACTTGTTAGCATCTGTTGTTCTGTACGTACATTGCTTTGTTGGAGCATGACACGCAAGATCATCTTGGTCTGTCTTGATGAAACGTCCCGTGAAGATTCCGGGTTAGAATTGATCTTCAGCAACCCATGCTTGTCGTAAGATCGGGTGGTCATGCTGGCAGACTTAGCTGATGCATATCATTGTATCCCAATTGCATGGATCCATGCTTATGATGTCAATCACTGGAATGTCTGGTCCAGACGCGATCATTTACAGACCGTGGTCATATAGCTGGAATATTGCTGAGTGCGGCGTTTAACAAAAAAAAAAAAAAAAAAAAAAAAAAATCTTGATAGAGTCATTCCTGGCGTTATTTCCCGTCCACAGCGAGAAACGGCGTCCGCCAGCATGGTGTGACCGGGTACTTTGGAAAGGTTCTGGGATTCGACAGCTGCGTTACAACTCCCATCCGGAACTGAAGATCAGCGACCACAAACCTGTCAGTGCCCTCTTTGATGCCGGGGTAGGTATTCTGCCGGTATTGCCCTTCAGCAAAAGGCCAGTTGTGTGTTTGGAGTACCAATGAAATACCATCCGTATTATATTTCAACTTTTTTAAGATATACTGAATCTAAACATACACAGCATATCAATACAAAAAGTTTAAACTGATTAACCATGATTTTGTTTGGCAACAAGCAAACACTATCTTTTTTAAGTAAGTTGTGTGATTGGCGGGTGCTACCGGAAGGTCAGGACACGCTTACCTTTTTCGCGAACACTTGGTGTTATCACCGACTCTAGGCTATTCCTTTATATAATATTCACCGCTTCGTTTCCTTTTAGGCCAAGTGGAATATGTTTCGGCGTATAATCGAAACTGATTATTCTATTGTTTTGACGTTTTAATAATATTTGATTTTGGGTTTCTATAGCGAAGTAGTTAGGATGGGCTAGTGGTTCAAGCTACTGCTCGTGAGGTGAGGTGAAATGGGGTTTAACGTTGCGTCCAAGATTATTGCACTTATATAGCGACGTGCATGCACATGTGTGTGTTTGTGTGGCTGCTTGTACTAGTCCGGGCTGATGCCGATTTATAGTGCTAGCTCACTGAGATACCATGCCGCAGTTTAACATGAATATCCCACTCAGACACAGTATACTGACACCGAGCCGACCAGTCCTTGTTTTAGCCCCTTAATGCCGATTGCCAGACAGAGTAACAACAAGTACCATCTTTTAACGTCTTTTGGTATGACGCGGTCGGGGATTGAACCCCGGACCTTCCGCTCTCCGGGCGGACGTTCTACCACTAGACCACGGAGGCGGTCTACTGCTCGTGATGCCGAGGACCCGGGCTCTATTCCTTACATGGGATCAGTGTGTGTGAAGCACATCCATCGTGTACCTTGTCGGCACATGGATTCACTGCTGCAAACAGCAGCGTAAATTCACCCTCACTCATTCACTACATGTATAACGAGTTGATACCAGAGACAAGAATAGTAAGCTTTGGTCAGGAAACCGTATACAGAATAGCTCCAAAATGTAGATGTAAAGGCCATAACAATTTCTATCATATTAAGTAACGTGTAAAACGCACTCAGACATCACTTTTGGCTCCAGCTATACTCGTTTGTTATAAGGTGTTATAAGAGTATTTTACTGTTGAACCATGATTGTAACTGTGTTACAGTTTTTCTGTTGAGAATCGGTCTGTTTTGACGCTCATTGCATTGTATTTGGACAATGATTAGTCGTCGGGAATGTTGTACTATTTAATGTAAGCAGTCGTCAAGAAGTTGCTATATTTAGATGCTAGCGTGGCGTGTAAACTGTGAATCAACACATCAACAAAGAAAGGTCACAAAATCATATTCACCGCATGGTTCTACGTTAAATCAGGATAGCAACCGCTGCAATTGTTCTCTGCAAACTATGACTCTTAAATCCCACGACTTTGTTGTATGAAATTGATTGATTGAATAAGTGAATGAGTGCGTTTAGATTTAATGTCACATCGGCAATATTTCAGCCGTATTGTGACAAGACCAATTAATGAATCAAGAATAGATGAGTTTTTAAAAACCTGTCGACAAGGGACAGTAAAACAGTGGTCTAAGGCGCCGTGATTCGCTGTGCAAATTGGGCACGCCAGAAACCTATGATTGTGAGTTCGAATCCCAGTTCGCCCCAATTATGTTCCTAGGTTTGTCAGCACCATACCCGTGCTCGTGGGTTTCACCGAAGTGGTAAACGTCTTAGACCTGCATCACTTCGGGCTTTCCTCCCACATTAAGCTGACACGCCGTGATATAACTGGAATAATGTTAAAAGCGGCGTTAAACCCAACTTACTCACTCACTCACTCTTATGATATGACTATTAATAACATTAAATAATAAATATGAGCTATAGATTGCCTGGATGAAATTGAAGACAATAAATGTGGTGCTAGAAACGTTCATGTGGACCTTCGTCAAACCTGGTTGAGAAAAGTATTTCAAATACTTATTTAGGGCCACTGTCACAAATCGATGACTTTTCCATTAAAAGATAAAGAAATCAGAAAATTGCTTTTTCATATTGTGTAAGTATATATTCTAAATAGTCTTTGAATTTGAAACTATCGCATTATATTTGGAAATATGAAATATGTATAGTGTAGTTATTTCTTCCAATGAAATATTCCAATCATAAAACTGAATCACGCTTGATACAACATGTGGTTATGCGTCTTTCTGTGTCAGTGCATCTCTGGTTAATGGTGATGTATTTGACATACCTGAGACATGCACAATCTTTATCATACACAACGCAACTCTTCATCGAATACATATCCGTATTGTTGCATGGCGTAGGTATTCCTGCTTTCGTCTTTGTGATGCAGGGACGAATGTACAGTGATGTTTCAGAGTGAATGTTGCGTTACGCCACAGGTAGCAATATTATGGCAACCTGTAAATAATCGAGTCTGGACTAGGCATAAATTTGACTGAAAATAGGAACAACGATTCATCCGCATTGGTGCACATTGCATACAATCAGCCACGTCACAGAGGCTGACCACAAGTCAATCTTACGACCAGCAACTGGTTGCTGAAGACCTTTCTAACCCTGCCTGGGGCGGTGGGGTAGCCTTGTGGTTAAAACGTTCGCTCGTCACGCCGAATTCCCGGGTTCGATTCCCCACATGGGTACAATGTGTGAAGCCCTTTTCTGGTGGCCTCCGCCGTGATATTGCTTGAATATTGCTAATAGCGGCGTAAAAACATACTCACTCACTCACTCACTCTAACCCTGCTCTGGGGTTTCAGATCCGAGTGGGAGGAGATAAAAGTCACAGGACGCTCACCAAGGACGCCATGGGGGTTCTGGACAGGATAGAGGAGGAGTATACGCCACAGGTCAAGCTGAATACAACAGAGGTTGGTTAAACTACACAATCAAATCCATTTTGTCTATAGACCACGTTAATGACTGTCACGAGGATCTGGGCCCATGTTAGTTGACCATGTCAATGATCAACTATGGTAGTGGTGAGACCACGTCCAAGACGGTCCGCTGTCCGTTTCCAGACGTTGTAATTTGTGTCCAATGTGAAATAGATTCATTATCACTGTATATTTATCTATTTTGTTTGTTTCACGCCACACTCAGCAATGTTCCAGCTATATGACGGCGGTCTGTAAATAATCGAGTCTGGACCAGATATCCAGTGATTGACATCATGAGCATCGATCCACGCAATTGGGATACGATGACATGCATTAACCAAGTCAGCGAGCCTGACCACCCGATCCCGTTAGTCGCCTCTTTCGACAAGCATAGTCGCCTTTTACGGCAAGCATGGTTTGCTGAAGACCTATTCCACCCCGGATCTTCACGGGTCGTCTATTTATTAACAACTAGATTGATATTCATTATATAAAACAATGCAAGGGAACAAACAACATCGTGTTTGAACGACTTAAATCAGATTTCATGGAACTGTCTTTAACCTATTTCCTGAGGTATTGGCGTCATATTGTGAGTGATATAAGTTGTGATATAAGTTGTAAACCGAGGGGTATATAGTGTGATCATGCTGTACCCTGTGTGTGAGCTATGGGTACATGGAACATAACTGCCGGCTCCTTAACTAATCAGAAGCTTGTATTTTAATGTAGGCTAAGGCAATACTTTTTGTGTGATACTCAATACCATTTTGATCTTCCCAAAGATGCATATCTATGTGTGTACTTACTGGTGTTTTCTTTTCAGTTTTACTTTGAGAATGTCAGGTTCATTGAACCACAACAGAAGGAACTAGCAATCACTAACACTGGACGGGTAGGTTGAAATTCAGCGTTTCGTCCATCGTGAGGGGCGCTGGGGTAGCCAAGTGGCTGAAACGTTCGGTCATCATGCTGGGTTCGATTCCCCACACGGGTACAATGTGTGGAACCCATTTCTTTCTACCCCTCGTAGAATATTGCTAAAAGCGGCGCAAAACATACTCACTCACTTCATCGTGAAACATCCACGTTGGGTCACTTTGGGGATACGTCCATGCACTTTAACCCACACTAGACGATTATCCTACTGGTTAATTGAAATGGTTCGTAGTGCTTTCCGTCAAACGGATCCTGCACATGGACATTTAGCTACCTGCACCCTGGTAAGGAACTGGTCAGTTTTGAAAGTATGGGGATGGGATGGCGTGAGGGAGGCATGAAAAAATACAGTTGTATTTTTTTTCAAATAAGAAAATGTTATTGGCGCGTGCGCGTTTGTGTGTGTGTGGAGTCATTAAAGAATGTTACATGTATTTGGGGTGGGCATGAACAATACAGACCTAAGCCCAATCTTGCCCCATCCCCATAATAAATTACCAGTCCCGTGTAAAGATACCCTTTTACTGGTTCATTTGTATACTTGTGAAAGCCAATCAATTGTTGGCAAGGTGAATTCCTCATTGTTACCATTGAATCTGTTGGTTGTGGTCAGTATTGGGCTATGTCATTAATGTGCAAGTAGACAAGACACCCTTGAACCTTTCCTGATATATACAAATGTGACGGCAGGCATCTGCATAGTACATACTGACCTTTTGTCACACATGGACATCTGGACTTGTATACTCTTTGGGAACTGCAGTTTGGGACTGTGGCGTAGTGACTGACCACCAGATAAGCTGATAAGGAATGTCGTCGATTGCTCACAATCACATTTCACAGACTACTGTTGACGAGCAGGACGGAGAATCCCCTTCGAAGCCATGATCACCCAACACACCCACTGTTGTACGGACTTAATTTGTTTGTTTTACTATATTTGACATCAACAGGAGTGGTGAATTAAGTTGTATATGATTCTGGAGCAAGTACTAGGCTAAGGAAAATATGTGTGCTTTAAAAATGCGAAACTCAGCAGTAACTATTGATGCCATGATCCTGACAGTCCAATACTGCCCGAAGAGCACGTTGCATTATGTAAAAATCATATGTCCAGGATACCTATGCAGGATATACATATGGCTTAGACTAATAAATTTGTATGAAAAACTGCCTCTATCAGTTTTAATTTATCTTGTAGGTACCCGTGGAATATAAGTTTATCAACGAGCTGGATGGCGTGAAATTCTGTATACCATGGCTGAAAGTCTCCCCGAGAAAACACACCGTGATGCCAGGTTGGTTCCAACACTTCTAATATATGACTTTCTCACAGTGAGTGAGTATGGTTTTACGCCGCTTTTAGCAATATTCCAGCAATATCACCAGAAATGGGCTTCACACATTGTACCCATGTCGGGAATCGAACCCGGGGCTTCGGCGTGACGAGCGAACGCTTTAACCACTAGGCTACCCGATCACCCTACTTTCTCATAACTCTTTACCCGATGTCAGTATTAGGATGAATAGTCAAAACGATATAAGCAGTAACATCACCAAGACTATTTTGGAAAACCTTCTTAGATTGGATAAATAAATGTAGCCATATACATCATATGAAATTAAGTGCTGAACTTGTTTTATTTGGTGTTAAAGAAAATATTGTTACTGACAGAGTTTTTGATCTTCTTATTTTAATAGCTAAATCTTTTATATATTTTTGCAGATTCAAAAAAACAAATCTTTGCTTCGCAATATTTCAAAAAAGATGTTAGTCTGAGATACAAAATTGAGAAGAATATAGCCTTTACAAATGGTAATGTAGAAACATTTTATAAATCATGGATCTTTTATCACATATTGTTTGAAGAAGCAGAACAGCAATAACATATGTATCTCTTTCTCATATTTGTTTCTTGCCAGGATCAGTGTTTGAATAATATTTTGAATGCTTGACTGTGTGTATGTTTTGTTATATTTCTTAAAAATCACCTTGGCACCGTTTCCAATACTTGTATTTAATTTTCCCCAAATGTATACATACATTGTCTTCAGAATGTGAGGGTGACCATTGCCCTGGATGGCCATCCTCCTCATGTAACAGGGAAAAGGTGAAATAAAATGTATAAAAAAAAAAAAAAAACATCACCAAGACTGGTGCAACCGGTAGGGTAGGACCCGCCAACCCGTCTTGTCACCATTACTATACCCTTACAGTTATTCACGAATACCTCATGTCGCCACTATTACGTGCTAGCGTCTCGTGAACAACCGGTGTCGTCGTGATTGTGTGCTCCTAAATTTGTCTCAAATTTCTTTCGACTCTTTTTTCTTTTCTTGTTGAAGTAAGGTGTCTTATTATGAATTTCCTGAATGGATTTGACGATTTTGATGACTTTATTGTGTGTTTGTTGCGATTTGTTAACGTTTGTGAACCTTTGATATATATGTTATACGTTACAGACGTTCATTTCTACTTTTTAGATTTAATTTGTATATAACGGATGCTCGATAAAAATAATTGTTCCAATGTCTATGTAGAGGGAAACTGTCATAATATCAGAGCATATTCTGTACTATGTAATTATATTGAAACTGTTGAAACATCAGACATAGTGTTTTGTTTTCCAACTGATATTTACCGTTGAAGCATAGACGTGCTATCCCTTTCGTATACTGTGAGCATATTTCTGGAAGGTTAAAACTGCACTTAACGTGATATTATTCATTCTTAAGACAATGAACTTGAATTAGTATGTGACTGATGTTGTGTACATATCAGAATACCACAAATATCGCCTGGCATTACTCACATGTAGTGGTTGTACTGTATTTGATACCTCTGTTGCAGGAGACAGCTCTGATGTATGCCTCGAGGTCTTTATTGACAAAGAAATTGTGAGGGACCTCAACTTTAGAGTCAGTCTTGATGACATACTCGTTCTACGTCTGAATAGCGGAAGAGATATATTTATATCCTTTAATGCAGATCATCAATGCCAAACCCCATAATCTTCACAAAGCATCAGATATTTTGTGTCAGTCAAAGTATTGGCCCAGTCGTCTATGGCGCCGCGATTCGCTGTAGAGAGTTACGTCCCTAGGGCACGCCATATTCCAGATCACCCCGATTATGTTTCTTGGTCTGTCAGCACCGTTCTCGTGGCTTTAACCAAAGCGGTAAACGTATGAGACCTGAAGTTGTTGGTTGGTTTGTCGTTTTACGCCGCACTCAGCAATATCCCAGCTATATGGAGGCGGTCTGTAAATAATCGAGTCTGGACCAGACAATCCAGTGATTGATATCATAGCATCGACCCACACAATTGGGACCGATGACATGCATCAACCAAGTCAGCGGGCCTGACCACCCGATCCCGTTAGCCGCCTCCAACTACAAGCATTGTCATCTTTTACGGCAGGCATGGGTTGCTGAAGACCTATTCTACCCCGGATTTTCACGGGTCCTGAGACCTGAAGAGCTTGAACATGTTGTACAGAGTACTTGTAAATGATGTGATAATGCAAACCTTAGAATATCCTCATTGTCCTATTTTCCATTAAAACTTTCTAATTATATGGAGAGAAATTATTAGCCGAGTGTGTTTGCGAAACATAATTATGACTATAATGCTCGATTGAACCTCCCCATTTGTGAAACAACAAACAGACACACACTATGCAATAACTATGTAATATGAAGTTCCTTAACCAGTATACATACCTATTCATGGCACGTATGTACCCAGTAGCTTCGGCACATCCATCGAGACCCTCGTGTATGTACACGGACCAATCAGAGACGTTACTGTTGAAGAGCTGATACAGGTGGTACGGATGCTCTTAACTTACACTAGCACGCCTTGAATGCAAACATATAAGCGTAATATTTTTAAAAAGACGCCTGGCTTTCCTGCCACATCAAGCTGACACCCCTTGAAGCATCAAATAGTGTTTTAGGCGGCGTCACTCACTTACTCAGTCACTTCCTAACTGTTTGCATGTGTACGAAAATATTCATCTTCTATTGCAGTCTCATATTTTGGTCAATGTACCGCCTATGTACTTTCCTGCTACCAACGATATTTGGTATTGACTTTCGAGGTTTAAATCGCATGACATGAAATGACATTTTGGTCCCCTTTTCTGTATCCAGGGTGGAGCGGAGTTCTTGAGTTCAACGGATCCCTACAATAGCCGTAAATACATCTGCCCAAAAGAAATCTTCCGTCTTGTCAATCACCTCTACAAATACGGCGGAAAAAAGGCAAGTTGAAATGTTTTTATCTTGAAATGTGAAATTAAAACTTTCATATTTGAAATATTTTTGTCATATAGTGAGTGAGTGAGTTGGGTTTAACGCCGCCTTTAACAGTATTCCAGTTATATCACGGCGTCAGCTTAATGTGGGAGGAAAGCCCGAAGTGATGCAGGTCTCAGATGTTTACCACTTCGGTTAAACCCACGAGCACGGGTATGGTGCTGACAAACCTAGAAACATAATCGGAGCGAACCGGGATTGGAACCCACAATCATAAGTTTCTGGTGTGCCGAAGGGACGCAACTCTGCACAGCGAATCGCAGCGCCTTAGACGACTGCCCCCCCATTGAGTAGTGAATGAGTGATGTGGGTTTATCGCTGCTTTTAACAGCGTACCAGTTACATCTGATTCATGTCAGCTTAATGTGGGAGAAATAACGTAAAGCAGGTCTTTGACATTTAACTATTTGTATGGGTTTGGTGCTGACAAAACTAGAATCATAATCAGAGCGTATCTAGAAATCGAACCCAGGATCAGCTAGAATGGCAGGATTGATAATGTGGTTTATGCGTGTCTTCGTGTCCTGCTCATGACATCAACTCGATAACTTAAGGCTAACATGATATAACTTGAATATTGCTCACCTGCGCGTAAAACAATAGACAAACAGAGACAACAGAGAGATGCTTTTCTTTGGCCCGGGATAACTGGATTGTCTGGTCCAGACTCGATTATTTACTGTCCGCCGACATATCAGTGGAATATTGCTGAATGCGGCGGTAAACAGCAAACAAATAAACAACTGCTCCTCTGTATATTTCTTTAGGAATCGATGTTCCTGAAGCGAGGTCATCCTTCCGAGATCAAGCAGATCAGAGATGCTCTTGACACCGGCAGCCCTGAATATCTTCGTATCCTTTGTGTTTTCTTTCTTGGCGCTCAGAATTAGATGTCGTTGCATCTTTTAATTGTTATAGGGACCAGGCTTTCCCTTGTGGGCGGTTTTAACTTACACAAATATTTTATGTGAAGGTATTGATCTGTTTAACATAACAACCTAGAAAACATTCATTGCTGAACTTGTGGCGGGCGTAGCTTGAGTAACTTTGTTGATTTCTGTGTTTGAAAATATTTGGGGTTTTAAATGGTTTAAGAAAAACGCTAGGAAACAACGTCCCTTTCAAAGACGCTGACCATTGTATCTGTCATATAGAACGCAATATACGTCATGTAGGGAAACATGAGTGATTGAGTGAAAATGGTTTCATGTAGATTTTTTTGCAATATTCGGTAATATCAAGACAGGGACAACAAAAACGGGCCTCACACATTGTATTCCTAAGCATGTGGGGACTCGAACCCAGACCTTACGATTGCGATTTCGAACCGGTAACCTACCGGGTACTTTTGGTATTCGTCACAATAACTAAGACATAAACCATGCGGACACAATAACAAAATGACTCCAATCTTACGAAGAAAGCATAAACAACGTTCAAATTATAAAGAACATTTTCATTTTTTTAACTAGTTTTACTTTCACTGAAAACATTAATCAATGAATTCGAACACTTCATAAATGTATAGGGTAGCATTGTAGTGAAGGCCTTCGCCCGTAACACCATTACCCCGATTTCGATTCCCCACATGGATACAACGAGTGAAGCCCATTGCTAAAAGAGGCGTCAAACTCACTTATATAAATGTGTAGGGGGGAGATGCATTTCGGTAGTATGTCCGTATGGTCGTCACATGTTCTCCTTGACCTCCCCACCAGCAGGCAGCGTCCACTCAGTGGCCGAGGCCCTGTTGCTGTTCCTTGAGTCTCTCCCCGAGCCGGTTATTCCTTCCGCCTTCTATCACTCCTGTCTTCAGTGTTCCACTGATTTCCAGCGCTGCAAGAAGGTAAGCCGACATCCATAGAGCCTTGCTGTGTGAAGAAATTATGTATGTGTAGTTCAACCAGTTCGAAGTCATCGGAAACAGTTCGAGTTGTCCGTAGTTCGAGACAAGCATTATTGTACAATAATGTCGCCAAATAGTCTAAATGGACCACAAGGCACCCAAATGAAATTAAAGAAGTAAACTGTAGGAATCCAAAATGGATAATTCTGTTCGCGAACACCTGGTGTCATCACTATTTGACAGTGATTCATAAACACATGCTCATGATATAATAGTCGGAATCGTACACTCGACTCGGCTTTTAGTAGAGATTTCTATTGAACATGAAAAGAGTTTTTATTTGGTATACGAATTGAGTTCCCCTCTCTGAATGGAATGATACGCAAAGACTATTCTCGAGGTATTGCTGAAGTTATGCAACTTTTAATGGCTTTCGTCGATGATTGGTAAAAATAAATGCTCTTTTCAGCAGCGAGTGGCCTCTAGATCAATTGCACGATCTAATCGTGAAGTACTGAACAAACATTTCATTTCTTTTGTAGGCCTTTGTAGAAAACAACAGTTTTAGCCCACTAGTCCTTGTACTGATAACATAGCAAACCCATTTAAAGGGCAAATGTCTCCTTGTCCTTTGGATACCTTAGGTATTGGGCAGTTTGGAAAGGACTGTTGGACTAGTGCCAATTTCTAAACCTGCCAGAGGTATTACCTGTCGATTGGCAGGACACATTGTATAGATTAAAATTTTGGACAATTCAAATTGTAGTGCATGTCCATGTATCATCACTATTTGATAGTGATTCATCAACACTTGCTCTTGATATAATCGTGCTTTGGCAGAGATTTCTTATGAATATGGAAATGGGTTTTGTCACTATTGTGTAAATCAAATACTGTTGTGTCGAACTTTGTTATGTCGAACTTACGGCTGTGTCGAAATAAAAGCTTGGTCAACACGTGTTCCTTCTTGATTCATCAGTTTCGGTTGTGTCGAACCTCGGATAACTCGTAGTATTCATGTAGGTCCCTTGACCTTCAACACAAGGGTGTTTGACTGTAAATATAAGTCGTTGTAATATCATGGGTTGCACTGATTCACTGGACGTCAAATTATTGTGCATTTTGTTAAAGCGTTTTACACCAATTTTTAATATGTTTATTCATCATGGTTAGTAGCTACAAAAGCAACTATCAGCAAGAGTTAACGAGCCATACCAAGTGATTTATTTAGAGTTGCATCCCTTGGATTGCAAAGCTGGAAATCTCACACGCTATTGCAACATCGTGAGCATCAAATCTCCAAACAATATGAATTCAAAAAAGATACAGATTGACGTACCCTGGGATCTTAGCATGTATCCAGTTTCCGGTAGTTCGTGGCAAGCGAATTATCAAATTTGGGTTCAAGTACCTCTAAGTAGTCTTACGTGACCATACATTTTCATCCTCTTGAAGGATAGAGACTGATCTATTGACATTCTGTGGCTGCCTGGGATTTAATTGAAAAAACATTTCCTTTTCCCCCGAAAACTCCTGAAAAAAATAGTTTTTCTTCAGCTCGGTGAAAACAAAAGAAATTTCCTTCCTCAAAAATTACATTGATGCTATGTGTATTTCCTAAAAACAATTTCACGTTCATAGTTTTAAATACATAAATAACCGGTTTTGTAGGTGCAGCTCGATGCAAAAACCCAGCGCGCTCCCCCAACCCCAGAATATGAAATGGTCGGTCCCTAGCACCCTATTAAATTCGAAACAAAGACTTGATCAAATAATCACCAAAGAGGATCGTCAACTTAGGGAATGCTTATTACAGGAATATCAATATTCTACCTGAACGAATGATTAGGTGACCATTGCAGTTCCCCCTTTTTGACGTGTACCATATGTCCTTGTGTTTTTTTCAGAAGATAGTTCACATGTCTTTGCATGCTTTTGTAACGGGTGCAACTGATGGGACAGGATAAGTTCACCTTTTCACGAACACCTGGTATCATCACTATTTGACACTGATTCATAGACACATGCTCATGATATAGCCGGAATCGTACAAAGGATTCTGCTTTTAGCATATATATCTTATGATTATGGAAATGGTTTTGTCGCTTTTATTTACATATATAGTCATACATGTACAGTTAAACATCGTTTACTCTAACTCTAGTAACTAGATGTATCGCTTAAGACGATTTGACTTTATGATCCAGGCAGAACAATTAGCGACAGTAAGGTCATAATGCTTTGTCTCGCATCACCAACAACTTGATACATCTCGAATATCGAGTCAACAAGATTTGTTGTAGTAAATTGGTAAAATATGACTAATCAATTTCAATAACAATTTTATTTGCTAAAATGTGTGTAGGTGCTACAACTGATTCCCGACAGTCACAGAAACGTTTTCAAGTATTTGTGCGCGTTCCTCCGGGAACGACTGAAGTTTGCTGACCAGAACAACTTGGATGTTAAAATCCTTGGTAAGTAGAAATAGTCAGTCAAGAACCGACACCCATGCTAGCAAGCTTAAACTTGTGTTGCCGGGGATGTTGACAACGTGTCCTGATGATGCTTTTTCTCATTAGGCTATGTGTATTATTGAAGGATCGACAATTGTATAACACTAACTTTTAATTTTCGATCTGTCCTATCGTGTTACGACGCAATATTATTGGTTGAGAAAATGAGGCAGGAGATCGGTGTTTCTTTACTTACGCTGCAATGAGCTGGATCAGTAACATTGGTAGGTTACACAGATGTTGGACTTTGATTGATCATTAAATTGTGATAACTTTGCTGTTATTGATTGAGACGTGTTGTTAAAACCGTTCCTGATGCCTTTTTCAAACGAAGATAGGGATTTCCGAGGCTTTGATTAGGCATATGTGGCATGTGTCACTTGATACAGGGAGCTGATACAGTATAGTCTTAGCTCACCTGACCAAGATAGGCATCAAGAGGGAACTTTGTGACAGTAAAAGTAAAGTAAGAGGATATTTTACGGTCGGCTCAACCGACTGAATTCGAAATACATGAAACATTGGGCCGTCTACCGCCTGCACAAAAGGTTATGAAACAATGGCCTCAAAATAAAGGTTCCGGTTTTGTGCAACGATTCAAATGGACATGTTTTAAATATTGTAGGTTGTTTGTATGACGAATTAACATTGTGCATAACATTGTTTCCCTTTAATCATCGACGATGAAATAAGATTGGTTGTAAGAGTTTTACGTAATTGGATTTCTCGCACTTTTGAGTAGCCACATTTGATTTATAATTATAATTTGATCATGTCTTTCATTTATATTTACAATGGATTTATATTAAAAATTATAGATGCTGCAAGATCTGTGTGTCAGTAATGCATGCTCTTTGTTGTTGAATATTTGATCAGGTGAGCTACGGTATCGTGTCACTGTATCACAGTTTCGTCTCCAAAAGCTTTGGATCATTTACGGTGAACCATTGCACTGATGATCATTGTTTTTGTGCTGAAAAATATACTGTTCGAATTGTTTCTGTATTTTAAAGTCACCCTTGTTCAATACATCACTTGTTGTAATTTGGTGCGAAGTCATCTTGTATAAGGTTTTGATATGTTCCCCATGTTTATTTATTCCCCCGTCATCAATTTTCGACTTAGGTGAGCTCCGGGGCCAGCTGTTTCCTGTTAATGTTTTTTTCAAATATTTGTTTGAGCATGACAATCCATGTTTACCCTTATGGCTAACACCTGATTTTCAGTGATCCATTCATATAATTGCCATCACTATTTTTCCTTTTACGCTCAAAGGAATCTGTCTCGGCAGATATGTCTGATTAGTAGCGGGTGTTGACGTTCTGAATTATGTTAGACCAAGCCAGAAAGTAAAAACGTTCATGTCATCTGTCGTCTTCACTTCCCGTAATGACAATCAATTCACCGTGAACCATAAACTAAATGGACATAAATTGTCTTGATTTAAATATTATTCTTACATACAATACACTGAGTATACAATGATTATATCGTTAGAAATACAAAGTGTTTTAAGAATATCAACTGAATAGCTCCCACAACACATGGCGTGAAAACCGATCAAGAAGATGATCAGATGCGCACAAATTCATTGTGCGTGATCCTCCATGTGTTTTAACGGCATTGGTCAGGCTATCAACCACTAGTTAGGCTATCAACCGCTGGTTAGGCTATCAACAGCTAGTTGCCTGACCAAAAATTCTCAGTTATACACAGATATCCATGATATATAGATGTAATATTACTCAATGCAGAGGAAACCAACAGTTCTTTTCAATTTCATTTATTTGTCCTTCACATCATGATGAAAGTTGATACTGACAATCGCCAGATACTGTGCAACTGTGACCTTAGACTGTTCTTTTCATCCTATTTCACAAACGGATCGTCAGTGAAGGATCACTGGGTTGCCTCCCAAGTCGGCCCATTCTTCGACAGGTTTCGTCTCAAGTACATGTTGAGACACCTCATTGTTAGGAGGGCCTTTGATCTTCACAGCTGATACTAGCTGCTGTGTTTAGTGATCTCATCGTGTCTAATGGCATCTTTTCAACCGACGAAGAATATCACACTAAACGTTAGATAACACTGTTTGTCTAACCCTGCATGTTGCAGGTTTTTGTACTTTGAACGGTTTGGTTGGTTTTCATAAATTATATAAAGTTTAATTCCAACCGCTTATGTTTTGTTTAATACAAAGTATGTATCTGCATGTGTTTGTATTTGTGTATTATATTGACAGAATTTTTTTTATGATGTAACTGCCTTAAAGGTAGTTCGAAATCGTACAATTATTTGGAACATCTTTTCAACATCAGAAGACATCGTTGGTTTCTGGATTTCAAGTTCTTTATTCTTTGTATGCGACGTTTCTGTACAGATATCAGCGCCTTCATCAAGCAGATCTGTATTCATTGAATGGCACTTAGAGGTATTTGTAACATTTCAATCAAATATAGTTTCCCTGCCTCCATATGTCCCACACGACACTTCCAGGTATGTGATGCCTTTCTCTAGCGCGTCTGATTGCCGATCCTAAGTACGTTGTTCCTCTGTAGAACCCCAAGGAAACATTTGTGGCATCACATGCTGTTTGATTGATTTTCTTGTTAACTGCCCAGCGGAGAGGTACATTGCGGCTGTATTATTGACGTACTTACTGATACTCATTGATGAAGGATCAAGCATTCATTGAAAGTGATGAGCGATTTTTAGAATGTGAATATGTTGAAAAGAGCAATTTACGAGTTGATCGACTGGAGCTGTTTTTCTGATTGATCATATCCGAACAAATGTAGTTTGACAAATAATCTTTGATCAACTTGGCTGTTATTCATATCGCTAACAAGCAATATCATGCAAAATGACATTTTCAATCATGAGCGCTTAAACGTTTTATGACGCATATTTGCTTCTTCTTGCGTGAAAAGGATAGAATTGGTTTCTTTTCAAAACGAAAACTTTCAAGACATCTGATCAAAAATGTCATAGATCATCATAACAGTGAGAAGCTTCGGGGTTAAAAGTCTTCGATGGAGAAGCCGTTTACCATCTCCTTCTTATTGTGAACTTCCCTCTGTGATAACATCAGCCTATTGGCTGTTCAGACAGTCTTGGGCTGTCATACTCATTTCATGCATATTGATTCTGACGATTCCGTCCTGCAATCAATCCAAAAAGTGACAGCTTCCACTTGTTTGTGAAGTAATTTCCCCACAACAAATCCTTGCGATGTTATTTCAATGTTTGAGTTTCATTTAGAATTTGTTACCTTCAAAAGATATTCCATTTCCATGATACTTCTGATCCAACAAGATCTTGAAAGTTATGTGTTCTTTGTGAGAGTGCACACATTTCATATCTAGTATTTACAAAGTGTATGAAGAGCTTGCTTTATCATGCTGAGAATATGCAGCATCGTTTGTTCTTGAGCTCTGACTAAGGCTCATGAATAAGGTCACACTTTTAGTTGGATTGTTCTCGTGTCGAAATACGACAGCAGTTTAAACATGAGAGCAAAGTGCCACAACCAAAAAGTAAGTGTAAATATTGGAATTAAATTTGAATTTACATTTTCGACACATTTCGTTTGATTAAGGAACGTAGTGTTTCTGAAAGTATATTTTCCTTGATTTATTTTGTTGAAGTGCACAGATTGCAAACCTGAAAATTTGGAAATGTGTGAGACCTTCTCAAATGGAATTCTGAAATATCTGCTGAAGAATATCGTATGCGGTCAGCAGTATTTTATTTTGTGCAAAGACCTGCCGGCCATGGTGGGAGTCTTTGTAACATTACTGTAATGATAAAAGAGACATGTTTATGAATCATTATCAAATAGTGATAATAGCAGGTGTTCGCGAAAAGGTAAGCGTATTCTGCTCCACTGGTTGCACCCGTCACAAACACATGCAAAGGCAAGTCAATTGTTCACATGAAAAACGTGTATAGTACAAGTCAAAATATGGAATTGCATCGGACATCCTTTTTCTCACTGATGTGTCAGATTTAGAAATGCTCTCCACATGGCCATCATAAAAAAAACATTTTGAAAGCTTTATTGAGGCCTTGAATGTTGTAACCTTGACCAAAAAACGTTTGAGTAGGAGTCTTATGGTGCTCTTTGATAAACGGATGTTCACGGAGGCTATGCTCAATTTACGTCATAGTCCATCAATGCCCCTCCACTAATACCACCGAATCCCAACTTCCCATTCCCCAAGCTCCATGCCTTTCCCGTAATTGTTTGTATAATTCTTTAATCCTCAAATAAATATTATCTTGAAAACATTAACTTTCTTCTTTCCTAGTACCTGCCGAATTACGTTTCTTTACGCAAATAGCTTTCAAAAATATTCATGGGCTGATGGCAATTTAACGGACAAATCTAAGAAACATAATTACTGTAATTATCTATTGACTTTTATTTAGTTGCGTATGATGTGACATATTATTAAGTGTATTAAGGTGTTTCAGACGTTTCCCCAAATAGTGTGTCTTCTGCATCTTCAATTTTGTCAAGTAAAACCGAAATAATTTGATGTGGTCTCCTAGAATTGGTTCGTAAAACGTTGGTGATCAGTGACAGACAACCGACGTGTTGTATTGGGCTTTTGATACTAATGTTAAAGGCTGGTTATGTGATAAAGGCAGGCACTCGTTTGATAAACAGATTGTATGATTAAATAGCTCAGTCTTTCAACATTATCGATTACCTTTATCACAGATAAAATATGCATTGTTTTTTTCACAAGCTGTCAATAAACAACATGAAATGAAATCCAAGTAATTGAGCTTTTCACTATCTTATCAATACATTCTGTCTTTTTTCTTCTCCTTAAAGTTTCAGTACTTGACGGAATAGAAAATTATACAACGTTAAAAGTCATCTCTGTTACAACTGATTAGAAATCATCTCTGTCACAACTGATTAGAAATCATCAAGTCAAGTTCGCTTAATAAGCCAATAATTGACACTGGCAAAGAGCTGCTTTCACCTAGATAAAAAAAGTGGACAAGTTTGTGAAAGTCACCACAGCTTTGTATCAACATACTTCATTACCGGATCAATGAGTTTGTAAAGTCAAAATATGTGTAGGCCAGGATGGTAAAACGTGTCAAAATGATGTATATTTGTCATGATATTTTGTGTTTTCAAAATATGTGTAGGCCAGGATGGTAAAACGTGTCAAAATGCATATTCTTCATGATATTTTGTGTCTTCATTGAAGCATAGAAAGTATTTTATATCGACGTGTGTTTCTTCATCCGTACGAACTTGCAAAGTGGGCGATATTTTGGTGTCAACAGTAATCATGAATGTGGTATTGCTGATATTAGGGACATGTTGGTTCAAGCAGGGTTTTGATTGAACATTAAACTGTGATAACGTTTGCAGTTATAGATCCTGAAATGTTCAGTCTCTTCCTATGGCTATTTCCAAACGGAGGTGTGAGATAAGGGATTTTCATGGCTCTTCGTATTTGGTTCAATTTAGACCCAAGTAGAGTCCAATTGTATTTGGCATGAGTGACATCCCCGGCAATGTTACATTGTATTATTTGTCTGAATGAGAAAATGTTTTCCCTTACCTACATCATTAGGGTGTACAGAATCCAATATATGTCCAATGAACTGATGCATTTAGAATCAGGTTTTCAGAGCGCGTTGTCCTCCTTATTCACAAACCTCGTCCTAAATGTATCATGATGTATTAGTTCCATATGGCATGATGAATGGTGGTGAAGATACATTACTTGAGGTAAATTGGATTATCGTATCCTGCACATGTCACCTCTAAAACGTGTGTTTAGAAGGTTTATAAAACATATCTGCAAATTGAATTTTTCGCCCCAGGATACAAATTGGATTTGTCTTTTTTTACATTTTGACTTGACATACACATTCCAAAAAACTCGTGTGATTTCTGACAATTGAAGATGATGAATGGGTTAACGGTGTCCTAAATGAATGGAATGGTTCGTATAAAAAGGTAACGTTGGTTTCTTATGTTATGTTGATACGAGATATTTCCATGTCAGGTTGATTTCCATTACACGAAATGCATGGCGTAAATAACAACAAGAAGGAATCCATAAATATCACTTCATAGATTGCAGATAAAGAATAAATTGCAATGCAAGCTGTCTGTATCAATTTCTCCTTGCATTTTTTATCTGTTTGTCGTAAAAATGTCCATGTTAGTCTAACCTTCATGACACTGAAATGTGCAGTTGTTCTTTGAGCATGGACTGAGCGCAGTGTTTTGGACGACAACAGTGTGACTTAAAGCAATTACGCAAATGCTGTTTTGATCCATCACTTCAAAGGCTGCCCAGCGCACGTCATTTAATCTATATCCTGCGACAGATGTCGAGTAGACTCTTTGAAATTTTCACTTGTCATCGCCGACAGAAATAACACTTCATTCGTTTTTTGCTACCACTTTACACTCTACATTTCTACCAGCGATGAAGGATATATTGACGTCCGTTCAATTTAACCCCACAATTGCAGCAAACAAGATCCGAGACCCTTATCAACAGTGAGATTATCCCTTGCAATATATGTGAGATGTTCTTCACACACGAACAGTAATACTGCATTTCTTTTTGAGCATTAACAAGGTTTTGTTGGTATTTCATTCCAGATACGAGTTCGTAGTTCCATGTTGCTAAGGAGTGTAATAGTTTTAGTTATTATCCACCATTGGCATAATACTGTTATTTTACCACTGATGGACGTTTCTGATTGCTCCTTGCTCCTTGAGTGGGCAAGGGTGGCCAAGTCGTCTTAGGCGCCGCAGTCCGCTATGCAGAGTTGAGTCCAAAACGCCCGAAACCTATGATTATGAGCACCATACCCGTACTCCTCAGTTTTACTAAGGTGGTAAACGTCTGACACCTGCATCACTCTGGATTTTCCTCCCACATAAGCTCACACGCTGTGATAGCACATCAACCACATCATATTCAGAAAACCAAAAGCATTGGAACTCGAAAACCTACAGATTATAGACAAGATTGCATCACTTCATTTTTCAAACAGGGTGTAACTATCAAGGTTTGCCGTTGGTAGGAAGACATTGTTCGCTGTATTAAGGGGAACGTTATCATTTGAAATATTGTAAAATTGACATGCGATAACTTAGACCACCACATTACTTGAAATAAATTGATTGTGAAGTGTGTTGTATAAATGAAGGCTTTCAGTATTAAGTAGGCGCCTTCATCGCCTGCCTAACACCCCCATGCTACATTATCATACAATTTGGGAGGTTGTTAATATTAACTCACCTGGCCTGAAGGGTCATGTCGTCCTTACACTCTTCACATTTTCGACTTTTCCTAAATGGCTTGAATAATTCAGCTGCACGTTTGTGTATCATCAGGTAGTCAGTCATCTTTGATTTAAAAGCTTCACAATTCTTCTTCTCAAAAACTTAAATGACCATAGCCCTGAATCCTGGTGAGTAAGGTGGTAAGTGATGATGTAGTACCAAGTTGTGTCAGGGAAACAGACAGAGCGACACGACCTAAAACACGGATGCTGTTTCAACTCAATGAATCCTTTGAATGTCGGGTGTGATTATTTCCGTTTATACAGGCAAGGCAGCAACCGCGCAATGAAAACTCCGGATGATTGAAAGCAGCCTGCGGTATGTCGTTCAAAATGTCAACGAAGATTGGCCCAACAAATCTAGCATTGTCCATCGCATCTTAAACATGTTCTATGCGGAAGACGTCTTGAGAAAATGCCGGCCATGGCAGTACAGCAAATGTTATGACGCTACAAAAAGCAACGTGCAACATGTGGATAAGCATTTTCCTGCTGCAACGTGACGTTTCGTCCCTGCATTTGCACAAAGGGTAGAACATGATCTCGGACTATGTCGTCCCGGTAGGGTACGCCATTGAAATTGCCCTTAACAATAAAGAGTCGTGTTCTCCCATGAGTTGTGATGCCACACCATACCATTACAGTTCCACCCTCAAACTGACGACGTTGATTAACGCAAGCGTCGCTAAACCATGCTCCTGAACGCCTGCAGACCCTTGCACGACCATCAGAGCTGACACCGAGAGTCATTAGTGAACAGTATACTGTTCAAGTCTTATCTTATGAACCTCAGATGTTATCTGCACCAAGCTAGGTGTGCCTGATGGTGACGTGGAAGCAAAATTGGGCATATCGCTGGACGTCGGTGCCGGATGTGGTGCCCCCTCAACCGGTTGTGTACGGTCATGCCACTAATTAGTATCAATCCAGGTATTGTCCGAACTGTTAATGTGGCAATGCGGCGATTTTCTTGATGCCGATCAATCGAATATTGTTGTCTTGTTGAAATCCGTCACATGTGGACGACCGCCCCGTGGCAAGTCATGAGCGTCTCCAAAGAGATGATATTGTGTTTCGATCAACAATAAAATGTCTGGCAACTTCGTTCGCGGTATTCCTGTTTGTAGGATTACGTAAGCACCTAATATTTAAACAGTCGTGTGCCTTTCACGTTCAAAAACCACGTATGCAAGTGCCATGTCCCCAAAACACACGCGAATACGAAAGATGCATTATTTAAATTCATATTTGTTGATCTTTATTCCGTTAGTATATATTGAATTAATCATACAAAGAGTGACATACAGAATAACTAAGTTCACTGCACCTATTCGGCAGTATTGACGAATGTATGTATATGTACCTTTAAATAGATGTTTGGTTGCAAGTTAATCACTGTTTAAACACTGAACTTCATTGGCTTACCTGATCTTAATGAAGGCACCGACAGATTTAAGATGTATATAGTTGTTTACACGATTGGATAGTGCTGTATGGATTGTGTGGGCTATGTCTTCGCGGGATTATAAGATGAATAACGAATACTACTGTTGTCACATAAGCCCATGTCCATACATACACTGTTATGGCAACAAACATACCCCAGACCTGTTACATGCATAGAGGGTGTACGGTTGGCGTAGCTGTCCACTTTGTCTGCACAGTTTCGTCCCCTACTTGTGCCAGAATTCACTGACCGTGGTGTGCACATCAAAGATTCCCCATTTGTTATCCAAGCGTGTGTTAAATATTAGAAGTAAGGACCTTCTGATACAAGTCAATCCCGTCATCAATATGACAAGTTCAGGATCTCATCCGAAGGCGCGTTTTGCTACTTCAGCATTATACCTGTGCTCACTCCAAGTGATAAACGTCTCCAAATTGCCACATGCAGCTCGGTCGCGCTCTCACTCACTCACACACGTGCATGAACGAATGATATTTATATACTTTATATTATATTCTTGTGGAGGTCCTTCGGAAACAAACGTCTTCAAATCAAGATGTTACTAAAGTATTGACATGAACAAACTTATTTTTTCTTTCAGCATCGCTGTTCGGCAATGTATTCTTAAGGGCCCCGCCATCATCAAGCAAGGATGACAGACAATCCACAACCCGGCATTCCAAATCACGTGCACGAGCTGAAGACTCCAAGAAGACTGCATTTGTTTTTCATTTCCTCACCAATGAATATGATGAATGAAGATCTGTCGCCCTGGAAATGGCCTCAATTTCAGCTGCCACTTATGTCATTACAGTTTAGTCATTGAACTGAGATGAACTTTTTTTTACCAAACTAGATATATAAAACCTCTACAGTTAATGCACCTGTCATACAATCTGAGTGAATGAGAGTGCATATTGGTTAACGCTGCATCAACAGTTTGGCAGTTTTACTTTGAAGTTGTCATAGTTGTTGATGAAAACAAACTGGACATTGCATGAAAAACAGAATGCTATCATACAGGGGCATAAGTTGTCTTTTTGTCTATGTTATTTATTATCATGTTCCTTAATGTTATATGCTACTTTGACGTATGTGCATATGTATATGTATATATATCTAATGTACATTTATAATAAGAAAGTTCGACAATATTTAATTTAATCACAGTCTGAAACATTTAAAAAAACAAACAAACTTAATCTCTATTAACTGCATATATCGTGAATGCCCATTTAACCTTGGGTCCCGGGAGAATCCATATCGTCATAATAGTGTAATGTTGACATCTCACTTCTCTTCAACTAATGATAGTTCGACACACATCTTTCATGGGCCCGAGGACTCTCGTAAAAGATATATATATCTGAGGGCAGGATGAAAACATCTAATTACTTTACATTGGTGAATTTGAATGACATCAATACATTTGATAACTGTAACATTTTGCCTTTCAACATCGCTTACAAGCTAAAAACAACTACTGTTTTGATAAGACTTGCTACAGGGATTGAGTGAGGGAGGGGCGTCAAACGTTCCACTTTAGGATACGGTTAAATCTAATAAACACAAAGTCCTTTGATCCGCTCTTTGATCCTTATATATTTAAGATGAAAAAATAGAATGTTATCCGAGATAAGTAGGTATGAATAATACACTATTAAACATGAATACCTTGAACCCTGTAGAGCTAGATTCGGGTATAAGTGCGCTGTTTAGTTCCATATGAAGAAACCATTGAGGAGTTCTCGATAGCTCCCCGATTCGACCGTGGTTGTGATGATGGTGTTTTCACAGTTATGCTGCAGTTTCGACCAGCGGAATTGTAGAAAGTGTCATTACTGGCTATCGCAGTGATGAATGTATTGCAGAGTTTGAACTTGCTTTGCTCTGATTTCCATTGTGAAAGTCAGAGCAGGCAATTTAGAAGAACTGCAAGGGTTATTTTACGCCTTCCTGGCAAAAGTGATGTCCGCTGCAATTCTCTATTTTGAATTGTACAATATTGTTTTTTAAGGTAAACAATTGACATGCATTTGTACGGGTTTGTGAGGGAGCCGATGGGTGACTCATTAGCACATGCTCACGATATAGTCGGAGTGGAGTCCCATGAATATGGGAAGGGTTTTGTCAGATTTTTTTCAGATGCGGGTTGATTGAGTAGGAAGTGTGTTACGAGGTGAAACACAAAGATTAACTCAGAAATACAAAACGCGCTGAACTAAATTGTAAAATCAGTGGATGACCACAAACGAATAATGAATGGGGGTTTAAGTTTACAATCAAACAAGGCAATACAATTGGTAAAATAAATGGCAACAACAATAAGAGGCCCGAGAACTATTATGAAAACACTCACGGAAATTGAGAATTTTGTCACTGTCGAATGTGTTGAAACAGGCCTGTCACTGTTTAGGATTTCAAAATATTGTTGGAAGCTGGCAGCAACTCGTTGTTTTATCGGCGGGGTTTTGTCGCTTTCATTTCGGATAAGTATACAATTCGCACTTATGATGAGATTAGCAGATAAGATGCAAGTGAGCTAAAAAACCGCAACGAATCGCTTTGCTTTTAGAAGATATGGAAAGAGGTTTGTTGTCTTTAATAATATATGCATAGCCAACTTTCTAGAAACTGTTTCACCAAACATCCTGTCCCTCGAATGAACAATCCTGCCATATATGTTCATATCAACCAGAGGAGGTAGATCGAATGAAACAGGAGATTCAATTTTACGATTCTGACAATATCAAAAACATGTGTTTATGATCCACTATCAAATAGTGATGATACAAGGTGTTCGCGAAAAGGTGAGCGTACCCTGCTTCAAACGGCGGCACACAGGCACACGGTAACATTTAGTACAAATGAAATTAGGGAACTGCATCAGACAACATTTTGTGTCAGTGATACGTCAAATATAAACATGTCCTCCACATGGCTACCCTTAAACGTTATGAAAGCTTTATCAGCTTGAAAATTGTAACCCTGATGATAAAACAACTTTTGACTACGGGTCATTTGGGGCTCTTTAAAATCTTCGTAGAAAGAACATGCTCGATTGTACCTCAAAAGTTATGAAATGTAGACACATGGAGCTGCTGAAATATTTCTCGACACATTATCTCTTTCAGGCGAGATAATGGATTGTGCACTGTGTAATCGACAATACGTATCAATTCACAATACTGTATCAGATATCACTGGCGCGTCAAACTTTTATGCAAAATTTCAGTTTATTGTTTACAGACAGTTACATTTCCCTACCTATCATGGACCTTAAGTCGCAGACTTGTTATTTCTTTGTCTGTGTACTGACGGAGAAAATGGTATTGGCACGACTGTGTGATGTATGAGGCATGAAACGGTGTAGTCTGAATATTGTTCAGCCTGGGAGCATTTTTAACATTGTGAGTTCATTTTTTGAATGAATGTTCCTGTTCTTGTCAGTGAAATAAGATAAGACTATATATAATACGGTCGTGCTGTATACTCCACATGAAGCTGAGAATCAAATTGGAATGCGCACTTATCCATTAATCAGGGTAATAAATATTCAATGGTTTGAACCTACCCCTCCAGTACTGCGCTGCATAAGTGGCCCTTTTGGCATATATCTAAAGGTATATGCAAGGCACCATTCTGGACAAGTTGATGCAAAGCTGCAGGAGATATTGAGCACGTCACTGGACCTTGGACGAGTGACTGTACAACAAGTTGTATTGACTTCTCTTTGTCTATGGACATGTATATTCTCGGCGTATATGTGCGACGCTATTAAACAGGTGGTCACAGCCGCCGATACACATAACCGATAACCACTCCTCCATGTCTAACGTGAATTAGCTGCACATATTAAAAGTTCCTGTTCTATACACGGCAAGACAAGTAAGCACTGACTGACTGGCTGGCGGTTAATTGTCATGCAAAGCCGCATTATCAAGATACCAGCTCAACTTGGGTGAAGAACAGGCACAATGGCACATATGGACTTGACAGTCATTGGAGTATGTGATACAATCGCGAAAAATAAGAATCCTTCAAGATTTTGAGGACAAATCAACATTTTTAATCTCTTGCTTGTTCACGCAGACTCAAACAATACAGGGGTAAAGGTTGTTATTACTTATCAAACTCTTGCAGTTGGAACCAGGCATCACACAGAAAAAGGATACGTAAGAAGGTAGTAGTAAGGAGGTAAGTTAATATTTGAAGTCACATCGGCAATATTTCAGCCATATCGTGACTTGAACAAGTAAGGCATTTTTATCATATATAAATAACCATCAATTTATCACAGATCATAGTTTTAGAACAATGAAAGGATCAGATTATGACAGACGACACATTATAAAAACAGGCTAAAGATCACCAACAACTAAAGTTATCCCACCATACCAGGGTCCAAGGTGATTTACAGTACCTTTGCTACCTGCATTGTTCCCCAGTAGGATTTACACCACCCCTTTCGCCACTTGTGTTTGTTGTCAAGATTGGCCATAGATTAAGATAAACAAATATTCTGAAGTTTAAACAGCGGTAGATAAAATACTTTGAATGATGTGGTCTTACAAAACCCTCTCAGGGTGACAATAATTTTATGCTACTTTAACCCTCTTCGAGGATATAGCCACTAGCAATGCCAGTTACTGATTCATACTACCAATTGTAAAAGATAATTAATTTACGAAACATAGCAAACTAAATATATAAATCAATTCCATTTCCTTTAAAAAAAACAAGAACTAAATGAGAACTTATGTTAAAAAGATCCTTGATGGATGAAACTTTGAAATTCTTATCCCTTGTGATGGAAAGATCAGTACAGTCAAGCAGGACATGATTGACAGTGATTCTCTTATCACAAGGGATACAGAACGGAGGATCTACACCTTTCAATGAATAAATGTCTATATCTCGAGTGGCCCATACGACATTGCCGAAGAAATTACTTCGTGAAACCTTGACTGACAACCCAAGCATGTGTAACGGCATCTTCCCGAGGCAAGAGTGTCCACTAGCCTTGTCATCAAAGTCTTGTTTCCAACCTTGCCACATCAAGCTCACTTTCCTGTGCTAAATATAATTGGACTATCGCACATATCGATAGTCCAATCTGAGAACGTTTCACAAAATCAACATTCACGACTGGTACATATTCGAATGAAAGTGATTTACCGCTGCCTGTCTTTGTTGAACATAATTTCGTCTACAATTTGTCTTTGCTTTTGAAAATTTCAAACCATTCTAAAGTGAACGCTTTTGGATTTTATTGCGACAAAGCTGTAGTTGCCTTTCTATTGTGTTCATATTTTTGCCACAGCAAGATATATTATAGTTATCTACTAAAAAAGGGACCCATCAATTGAGTCATTCAATACCTTGGAGAGACTTTTTATTTTAATGCTGAACAACGAGGCAGACAAAAGTACTCCCTTGTGGGACACCCTGATCCTGACTGTAATGGTCTGACAGGATGGAACCCACACGGACTTGAAATTGTCTGTCGGTTACAAAACAGGATATAAACTGAGGTAAACGACCTCGCAATCCAACATCATGAAGATCTCTCAAAATGCCATGCTTCCAAGTTGTATCACAAGATCTTTTTAATCGAAAACGATGGATACAGCATGTTGTTTGTTTACAATGACATTTTTATGAACGATTCTAAACGTACCAGATGATCAATAGAACTTCTATTTTCTGGAAACCACATAATATATCGGGAATGTGATGATTGATTTCCAAATACCAAACTAATAGAGTATTAACCATACGCTCCATAGGTTTGCAAACGCAGCTTGTGAGACATATAGGATGGTAATTGGAGGATTTGTATGATCCCTTAAGGTTGTAACAAACAGTGAAAGAAGATGTGTGGTTCGGCATCTTGGTCAAAGGCATTGATCACTAAATTGTATAATTTTGAGTATATTACTATACCTTCAGAGGCGACTGATTTCCAGTCTAAGCTACCTACGTATCGCGTATATTAGACCGACATACATGCACTGTAATAAATCTTTATTCATTTGGTTATGGTTGCTTCTAAATAATGTGTGTATCAATACTAATGAATTGTTTGTTTACTTAGAGAAATCTATTTTGTTTTGACAAGAGCGTGTTTACATATCTCTCACACATTTCATCTCTTTGGAACCAACTTTCATGTGAGGATCGGTCATCATCCCTGATTCCCTGCCTATCCCATCTCGGAAGCATGTCCCGTGTCGCCGCTGTGTGAATATATATTATAGTCACTGACTTTTGCTATCCCAACTGTATTTGTGTATTTGATACTGACCACTGCCATTACATTATATACTGCCATTGGATATTGTACTACCACTCTATTGTTTACTGCCATTGTAAGTGCTGCGCAGTAATTTGTACAGATTTGTAAAGTTAGTGAATTTTTAATTACATTTGTTGATTATATACTACTTGTTGGTTGTTTGTTGCTTTCACCCTCAGTTATTTTGCGTGCAAATTTCTGGGTGAATATATTGTTTAATTTGGGATTTGACACGTAGCACCAGTTGCTCTGGGAAACCGTGTTATTAATGATTAGAAGTAAAA